ATAGCCATTGCTTGCAATATTCTGTTGAGTTTTGGCAAAGTTATGAGAGCTTAAAGTTTATTTTTCATATCTATGATTTTATATAATAATGTGTACATATTCCTCCGCAAAATCCGTCGAGATTTGGCCAATTTTTAGACTATTTCAATGCAATTTTCAAAAAATATTCGAAAAGCCATTCCTTGCAATATTCTGTTGAGTTTTGGCAAAGTAATGAGAGTTTCGTCAAGATTTTGAACTACCTCAGAAGCATTTGAAGAGGTTTATAGTATGCTACACAGTTTTTCTTCCCCTCTTATTAATTGATTTAATTTGATTTGAAATCGCCACAGCGAGCTGCAATGGTGTTCAATGTGTGAACGGTCTGACCTGTGTGGAGGATCAGTATATGATGCCGCATTGTATAAAATGCAAAATCGAATGTCCCTGGGATGATATGGCATACGATCTGAATGGCGATGGCCGGCAGCCGGATGAGGATGAGGATGAGGATGAGGCGGCAGCAGCAACAATTGGCGAGGAGAAGCGTGCGGTTTGCGGCATCGATGGCAACACATACAGGAGCACTTGTGATATAGATCGTATGATTTGCAAAATTGGACGATCAATTGCAGTCGCATATCCGGGACCGTGTCGTGGTATGTACAACTACAACTACAACTTTTATACTTCTTCATGATTGATAAGCTTTAAAACTCAATCAAATTAATTGAAAGTCGCAGCCAAGTGCAGGCAGGAAAATTATTGCTAGCAATTGCAGCGGTTGCTGTTGTTGCTGGGATGCTGCTGCTGTTGCTGTTGCTGCTGTTGTCGGTAACGATGGCGGCTGTGCAAATTTAACAACAATCAACGCAGAACCGCAATTTTGCATTTGATTGACTTGACTTGGCTGAGGTTTCAAGTCGACTCACAACCGCAAGTGCTGGTTGCTGCTGTTGTTGTTGCTGTTGCTGCTGTTGTTGCTGCTGTTGTTGCTGTCGTGTTGTCGCCGTGCCATATCAAGTTGCGCTCGGTGTTTGTTGGCTGAAATTGCTACATTTGCTTATACGGCTCCATGATTGCCAGCAATTTGATTAGCCAGTTGCTGTTGCAGTTGTTGTTGCTGTTGCTGTTGCTGTCAGCATTGCTCTACTTTGTGACTGTCGCGCATCCACGACGACATCTCTCTTGCTCGGCATAATTCATGCTTATTAATTTTGTGGTTACATTTGCGATTGATCGACTCCGATTTCCAATTAATTACATGCAAACAGCTGCCGCTGAACGCCTACAATGCGATGTATCTCTGCTGCTGCTGAGATGCAGCAACAACAACAACAACAGCAACAACAACAACAGCAGCAGTTGTTGACGCCTTGGTGTCAGTCGCCGCACCAATTAAAGGCGTGGCGGGTGTTGCATTCTCGCGCGCCATATCTGAACAACAGACAGACAGACAGACGGACAGACAGACTGCCCAAACTGGTTTAGTGTGTCAGAGGCGGCTGCCCGGCTGCAATTGCGTGCTAATTGCAGTGTTTTGTTGGCAAATTACAGCTTGTAATTAATGTTGAAGAAAATACAAATTATAACTACAACTAAAACAAAAGGAAAACCAACTAAAATCTCTAGCACAAGTCCAAACAGCTGCTTACGTACAAAATCTCGACAAATATAAATATTTGGTTTGTAACATTTTTAAATGATAGGCAGATACTATGCCGTAGAATTATTCTAATTAAAAAGAACTTTCCTACTTACCCATTTGATTTTAACACAGCAGCTTGAATTTTCAGTTTTTCTTCATATTATTTCATTTATTTACCATTTCTTACTTTCTAAACATAGAAAGAGTCTACGGCCGATATGCTAGAAGAAACGTTAATGTCATAATTACTGATTTTAGTGTAGGAGTATAAAAAAAAAAACCTATTTTTCCTATAGCTTTCTTACTATCTTTATTGGGCTAATGTCTATATACGAATCTTAGGGGCAAGATTTTGACATGAATTTCGACTAAAAATTATATATTCAGATTTGAATGACAGATTAATGTAGAGGAAAAACTATGTACAAAAAGCCAAACCTCATGAAAATCTGATGAGTTTTGACCGAATTATGGGGGTGGGAAGTTTCGACCTATGTCTATATACGAATCTTAAGGGTAAGATTTTGACATGAATTTTGACTAAAAATTATGTATTCAGATTTGAATGCCAGATTAATCTAGAGGGAAAACTATGTACAAAAAAACGAAGCATCGTGAAAATCGGTTGAGTTTTGACCGAGTTATGGGGGTGGGAATTTCAACCTATGTCTATATACGAACCTTAGGGGCAAGATTTTGACATGAATTTCGACTAAAAATTATGTATTCAGATTTGAATGCCAGATTAATCTAGAGGTCAAATCATGAACAAAAAGCCAAGCCTCATGAAAATCGGTTGAGTTTTGACCGAGTTATGGGGGTGGGAATTTCAACCTATGTCTATATACCAATCTTAGGGGTAAGATTTTGACAATAAATTCGACTAAAAATTATGTATTCAGATTTGAATGACAGATTAATCTAGAGGGAAAACTATGTACAAAAAGCCTAACCTCGTGAAAATCTGATGCGTTTTGACCGAGTTATGGGGTTGGAAAATTTCGACCTGTATCTACATATATACGAACCTTAGGGGCAAGATTTTGACATGAATTTCGACTAAAAATTATGTATTCAGATTTGAATGCCAGATTAATCTAGAGGTCAAATCATGAACAAAAAGCCAAGCCTCATGAAAATCGGTTGAGTTTTGACCGAGTTATGGGGGTGGGAAATTTCGACCAATGTTTATATAGGATATTAGCGGGTACCTTTTGCACATGAAGGTTGACCAAGAATAATGTTGCCATATTTAGTTTTAAGTCCATTCGCCAGGCGTACTCACAAAACTCTATTCATTTGGCAGCTGCCTGAGTTACTCATAACCCGGCCGTAATGCATTCATGTATTCATTCATACCTTGAGACGACTCTTCAAGGCTGTTGCCCTACACCAACTACACGATTAGTTTGGCTGTCTGCGCTAAAAAAAAAAGCTCATAAATTTTGCACACCTTTTGGTGCAAGCTGCCTACTCTACCTTGCTCAAGTTGTTGCACGGTAGCCGGATATTAAAATAAATTAACATCATTAACAATTATTCACTTTTGCTTTTAGCACAAAGGTGTGCGTGTGTGCGTGTGTGCGTGTGTGCGTGTGCGTGTGTGTGCGTGTATGCGTGCAGTTTGTTTGTTTGTTGCCTGCTGATGATCTCGGCAGAGGCAGAGGCTTCAGTTGTTGATCCTCCTGCTCCTCCTGCTCCTCCTTTGCAGTCAGCTCCTGCTCCTCCTTTCCAGCGAGCTTCTGTTCCTGCTGTCTGCTGCGCTGTCCGTGACTTCATGTTGATCATCGGCCGATAAAATAATACATATATATACACACACGCACACACACTCAATAGCTTTCAGTTTGTATGTTTGGTGCGTTTTTGAGCATTTTATCTTTATGGTTAGTAAGTTTATGGTTTTCGTGTGTTTGTGTGCTTTCACATAAATATTTTCCTGTGCCCCGATCAAGAGCCCATAAGAGCCCCCCAAAAAACGAGCACAACCACAGACGCAGACGCAGCCTGGGCAAATTTGCCCCTAAGAAATATGACTACACGTACAAGCCATTAAAAACGCCATTTTCGCGATGACGGGGGAGACGGGGGGCGACGCAGGTTCTGTGATTGCAACTGCCCGTCCGGTTCTCGCTTGTGTCCCTAGTCCACCCTCCCCCCCCCCCTTCCTCCCCCGTCCGCTGTTCGCGACGTCACTTTTGTCTGGCTGAGCGTCTGCGCTGGCTGCGTCTGGGCCGGCTGAAGTTTACGATCGTATTAAAATCACCTTAAACAACACGCAATGCCAAAATGGCCAGACAGCTGAGCCCAGTCCAGTCCAGTCCAGGATTGTGTATGTGACCCATACGACCACAACGAATCTCTGGCCATGCCACACAATGTTGCAATAAGTTCCGCCAGCCAACAGCAGCAGCAGCAGCAGCGGCGACTTAGACGCGTCTGTAAAAACCGGATGGAAGCAGGCTGCCGCTGGCGTTGATTAAACCACGTCGACATAACAAATTACAGTTGGCTTGCATTGTGACGGCATTATCAGCCGGCGCAGCCAGGCCGGCCGGCCGCCTAGCACCAACAACAACAACAACATATCCATCACAATCAACAAGTACAAGTGCGTTGGGGCGTGGCCGCGTGCAGCGGGCCAAAGGACGTTGCCAGACTACAGCGAAAATTGGCAGTTGAAATTAATAAACTTTAACTGTTTCGAATTGCCAGCCAGGCGGTCAACCTTTCACGCAACGTCGCCAGAGCCATGGCCAGCAGGAACTATGCAGAATATACATATCTGCATCTGCCCCGCTGCCCCCCCCCCCCCCCCCCCCTTCTCATCCTTAACCAATAAGCAATTGCGCACATTTGCCGCGGGGCAACATTTTGCAACATTGTTGCTAAGTTCCAATATGTGTATGTGTGTGTGCGGCTGCGCAGCTTGGCTGGCTTGCCTTGCTTTGCGTTGACTTGACTTGGCTTGGCTACCGTCTTGCGCATGTCAGGAATGGGGCGGGCTCTTCCATACATTATATGTATGTATGTACGTGTACACATGGCCATTGCCTGTGGTGTGAATAATGTGGCAGCGTTGAAAATTGCAGTGTGCCACAACAACAACAACAACAGCAGCAACAACAACGAAAACAACACCCAATTAAAAAAGCCAAAACAGCTGTAAGCGTTGTTAAAGAATGGGTCGGCAACATAGATAAGTAATAAAAGCACTCACCCTTAAAATACGCCGCACTCTGTACATATTTCTATAAGCACTGTTTCAAGCCATTGTTTTAAGCTTCACATAACTATTTATATGACATATTCACAACGAAATTTAGCACTCCCGAATCCGAATCACATTTTATTATATAAAAACTGCGTATGTTGCCACCTTGTCTAAAACAATGCAATGTAAACCATATGTAAATTTCATAGGCAATTAATAATTGTCTCCTGAACATAATTAGGCGTTGCCAGCATATTTTAACATTTCTAATAATATTAAAATAATAGGAAATGTAAGCATGATTTTTACCCATGTTAATATTATAAATATATGTATGTACAAGACTTGTTTACTATGTCAGGGTAAAATCATGCACACACACGCACACACGAATCTCGTGGCTATACCAGCTGCCAGTCGCCATCAAGAAATCTGGAAACAACACCTGCCAAAGTTCACATGATTTTTGGCCAGGATATGCGCGAGGGGCCATTAAACGAGCAACTGAAATTGCCAGACATAAAAACTCAGGGAATGCAAAAACTTAAAAACAAAAACTTGAGTGGAGCTGCTTTAAATGTATGACTCGTAAAATGTATTTTTTTTTGCAGCGGACCGCGTCACCTGTGCGGACATCAAGTGCGGCCCAAAGGATAGCTGCCTTGTGGACCTGCAGACGCACATGCCGCGGTGCGTCTCTTGCCGCTACAAGTGCGCACGCAAGCAACAGCGAACGGTAAGTTAGTCATACAAATAAAAGGAATTGATTTAATAACGGGAAATTTCTCTTGTACCTACACCTATATAGCAATACCGGGCGGATAAAATCTGTGGCTACAACAATCACACATATAATTCGTGGTGCGAGATGCGCAAGGATTCGTGTGCCACGGGCTACTTTATAGGCGTCCGAGCCACGGGCGTATGTTAGATCAAATTAGCGAAATATTATCAAAAACAAATCACATTAGCATATATACTAACATATACATATATATAGAGCGTATATATAGCGCATCTCTGTGTAGTTCCAACATCCAAAGATTCTCGTTGTGCGTTTTGTTTAGTGTTGTTAACCGATGCAAGGGCCTTAGGCTGCTGCCAACATTCAATACAAGCATACAGTACATACATACACACATACATACATATACATATGCACTTGGCTAAGTATTAGCGCATTTATCAACACAATCAACAACAAAAACAACACGTTTAATATATTAAAACAATTCTTATGCAACACATCCATGGTAAGAGAAAACCACATATCTTAAGAGGCTTTTGTATTAAACATATAAACATAACCATAAAACTAATTCATAATTAATTTATATACAAATTGGTTGGCACACGCATTTCGTTTACGTTTAGTTTTTACCACAAGCTAAACAAAATGTATTTTATTTATTATTAGTTTTTAAACATATATTTTGTCCATGTTTTTTTTATTATTGTGTGTGTGTTTGAGCGAAGCTAAATTAATTAATTGACTGATAGCTTAACCTTATATAGCAAGATTTTCGAATTACATAATATGATATGCATACATTTGTATACTTTATATATAGACACATACATATATAATGTATACATTTGAGTACACATATTTTATGAGTAATTGTTAATTAAATGTGTGTTTCAAAACTTAAATCAAATAACGTTTTCAATCGCTCTCATCGGACTCGACAAATATGTCATTCGCGCGCTGATAACGCGCCTGCGTTATCTTCAAATTGGCCAATTTTCGTTTGTCCATGGAACGCGGGCCACTCTTCGGCTCACTGCTGCCCAGGCCGGTGGTGCCCTCATTGGCCACCACATTGATCTGTTGGATAATAAATAGAAAGATAAGTAACCCCGTTGAGTTGAATTTCATCCGACTTACAGGCGTTAAGAGGCCCTGATTGCTTTTGCCCAGCGTCTCGCCCTTTTGCCAGCCCAGTTGGCTGAGCATCTTGAAGCCCTTATTGGAACTGGCTATCTCACTGCAATCGAACAAACGAATTAAACTCATCCCACAGCAGGTATATACGCCTCGACTTACGTGTGCACACAGGCCACCTCGGTCTTCTCCTTGTCCGTGCTGCTGCCCACTTTGATGCGCCGCTGGGCACTGCGATCATTATAATTTGGATTCGGATTGACGCTCGCCTCCACGAATTCTAGGAAGGAATATTTAAGTAAGGCTTATAACACACTCACTTATACACACTCACTTTCGTTCTCTAATCCGTATTTCTTTTGCAGCTTCTTCAGCTGCTCCTTGTGTGTCAATACATTGACGCTGGCTGTCGCGGTTGCTGTTGCCGGCGCTGGCGTCTCGATGAGCAGGCCGGGCTCACATAGCCCGCACGTGCTGTTGCCCTCGTGCACGTGACACAGCAGCTTTGTCTGCCCGATGCCAATGACACTGCCATGCATGAGATCCAGCGTCCCACTGGCCGCCTTCGTTTCGGACATGCGCACGCCGTTCAAGACGGTGCCATTGCGGGAGCCCAGATCGCGACATTTGTAGATCGATTGCTTGGTATCGTAGTGAAAGTTCAGATGACACTTGCTCACATTCACATCCGGTATGATGACATCGTGTGCGCCCTCACGGCCCAGCGAGCCACCTTTATAGGTAATCAAATGGAGGCTGCCCACCGTCAACTCCGGCACATTCGTCTCCTGCACAATGATGCGTAGCGAGGGCGGATATTTCTTGGCAATGTCTGTGTAGGTAGGAAAACATTAGTATCAATATAATCAATAATCAGCGATTTAGAATGTTCAGTAAAAAAACGCGAATTTCTTTTAAACACCTTGAAAGCGACTGTTGGCTTTGAACAATGGAACGCCGCTGCTGTCGCAGTCGCTATTGCTGCTGTCGCTGGAATCGGAGCCGGAGCTGCTCGTCGATTGCGACAGTTCGCCGTCTTCGACATCAAGAGATTTGCGATTGGCCGCCTTATCAGCGGAGTCATCATCATCATCAGCATTATCATCATTGCCGTTGCGTTCTTTGTGTCGCTTTTTGGACTTGTGACGATGTTCCTTATGCTTTTTCTTCTGCTTCTTTTTGGCCTTGCGTTTGCTGCGCGCCGCACGCTCTCGCAGCTTTTGCTTTTCCGCCTTGATTTGCTGCAGTGTCGCCTTGTCCGTGATAACGCCGCCGTATTCATCGAACTCGACATCATCGTCCTCGTTGTCATCCTCCAGCTGGTCGTCGCCGCCGCCAGCTTCGTCCTTACTGTTCGCCTGAAACCAGTGAGAAGAAAAGAAATCCGCGTTTTTATCGCACATTCTGATGCTCAGCGCTTACCTAATGCATTGCTACGCATTCGGTCTATGCTTAGTTTGCGGAAACGTGCTAAGAGGCAACTATAATCCACACACTTGCATTAACCGAGGATGGAGGAAGGAGGAAGAGAATATCATCAATTTAATCAGTCAGGTCTTGCTTCTTACACACACTCACCTGCACCTGAGCCTGCGAGTGAAACTCGTACGAATCTTTTGCCTGATCGTAGCTATAATAACAGCCCGTATTGCCGTCATAGTAAAGCCCGTATTCCTGTTACATAGAGTATATTATTTAGTTTGTTTGATTGCTATAGCAGGGGCGTGTTTGTAGGTCCATCATTGGCGATAACCTCTGAAAGTCACCAAGCGCTAGGCACATGCCGCGGCACGTCATAAAGATTACGTTGTTGTAAATTACTTACCGCATTGTAGTAGTAGCCCGTCTTGGGATCGTAGTACATGCCCGATGTCGGCTCATAGACAAAGTTATTCAAGTTCTCTGCATGCTTCGCCGCCTGACGCATCTCGTCCACAAAACTGAAGGCATCTGTTGGCGAAACTGCAAAATTTGTACACCTGATTAAGCACAATTTACAATTACAATTTAAGTCTAAAGCCAACTTATCGCCCATTTACCATCTGCCTGCCTTAGCCTAATGTCAACCTGTTTACATCATGTTGTGCCCCTTAACTGAAACCGGGAACTGGCGCTAATCTCCCAAGCATTAGTTCGAGGCACCATAATTGACGCGCACTTGGCGCTTATATTATTTTTTTTTCCATTTTTTGCAATAGCGCAAATAATAAAATAATTAAGATTAAAACGCAACGGATGTAGCGATCAATCTTGTAAACGAAGGTGTTCGTGTGTAAATTGTTGATACCATCCAATAAAGTCATATGAACCCAAACTATTTGTTTAAATAGCTCTTATCTATACCTCTAAATATATAATATTTGTATGTTCCTATTGCAAACTTTTGTTAGGTCACTGAATTGTGTTAATTCTGAATAGTCTATAAATTAATTAATATAATATTGCCCATCTAAGGCAATTATAGCATGCGGATTTGAAGTCACCTGAACAACTCAGGCCACTAAATTATTCTTCTATAGAGCTTTCATATGCCCAAAATCGAAGACCGAGGTTAAACGACCCCAAACTATAAAATGTACTACAATTAAAAAGAGCTCTAGAGCTCTATAGTTTTCACACTCTCGCCTCTGTTAGGTTTCAGAAGATTTAGTCGGCTGTTTTTTCTAATATTTTCTATTGATGGGAAGGGAGATTGCCGGGTTGTTACTACGACCGGGCGAATGCAATGCGAATTTTTGAGCTTACTCTTATCAGGTGCGGCGCAAGCTGACGAAGGCGTCGCCATTGGCAGGTGATGGTTAGGTTAGTGTCTGGTTAGTCGTTACTCATTATTCGAGCCAGGCGGTTGGAACAAAAAAGAAGCAGAACAGCTAATCAGAGAGAGCAAAAATGGTCGATGTGGAAATACGTGAACTTATGCAACCCTTTGTGCTTAGCGATTATCAGGTGCAAGAAGTGTACAGTCGTTTCTGCCTGGAGATCGAAAAGGGTTTGCGGCGCAACACACACGAGCAGGCCAGCACAAAATGCTTTCCCACCTACGTGCAGGATTTGCCAACGGGCGATGAGATGGGCAAGTATCTGGCGCTCGATTTGGGCGGCACCAATTTCCGGGTGCTGCTCGTAACGCTCAAAGGTCATCACGAGGCGACGGTCGAGTCACAGATTTATGCTGTGCCCAAGGATCTGATGGTCGGGCCTGGCGTCGAGCTCTTCGATCACATAGCCGAATGTCTGGCCAAGTTTGTGGCAAAGCACGACATGCACAACGCCTTTCTGCCGCTGGGCTTCACGTTTTCGTTTCCCTGCATACAGTTGGGTCTCAGGGAGGCCAAGCTGACGCGCTGGACCAAGGGCTTTAAGTGTCCGGGCGTCGAGGGTGAGGATGTCGGACTGATGCTGCACGATGCCATTCAACGACGCGGCGATGCAGAAATTGCAGTCGTCGCCTTGCTCAATGACACCACCGGCACGCTGATGTCCTGCGCCCATCGCAATCCCGACTGCCGTGTGGGCGTGATTGTGGGCACCGGCTGCAATGCCTGCTATGTGGAGCATGTGGATAATGTGGACCTGCTGGATACGGATTTCAAGCGCGCCCAGAAACAGGTCATTGTCAATGTGGAGTGGGGCGCCTTCGGCGATCATGGACAGCTGGAGTTTGTACGCACAGACTACGATCGTGAGGTGGACAGAAAATCAATTAACCGATCCGAGCAGCTGTTCGAGAAAATGACATCGGGCATGTATTTGGGTGAACTGGTGCGTCTGGTATTGTTGCGCGCGCTCGAGCGGAATAAAATTTTCAAGCTGAACACAAAGCGTGCAGCGTTCGTTGCTGTGCTACAAAAGAATGTGGATATCTTTGAAACCAAATACATATCCGAAGTGGAAGCCGACTCCTTTCCGGAGTTCCCCAACACGAGACGCATCGTCAGGCAGCTGTTCGGCGTGGAAAAGGCAACCGTTGAGGATTGCCAGAAGCTCAAGTACATTTGCGAGTGTGTGACCAGGCGCGCTGCCACCTTCGTGGCCATCGGCATAAGTGGCCTCATCAATAAGATCATTGATCGCCGTGTGGTGGTGGGCATAGATGGCTCTGTCTACCGCTATCATCCGAAATTCGATGGTTACATCAGGGAAATGATGCAGAAACTGGTCAAGCCAGGCAAGGAGTTCGATATTATGCTGTCCGAGGATGGTTCGGGACGTGGCGCAGCGCTCGTTGCCGCCGTCGCCAGCAAAACAAAGTGAACGGCAGCCAAAGTTAGCAAATCGGTCAACAAATATGTTAATGTAGAATTTAATAGCATTAATAAATTGTTCTCTTTTTTTACACTCACGTTCCTTTCCGGCTTGTGCCGCCACTCCATTTGCATTTGTATGGCCATTGGACGCCTGCGTGTTCTTTTCACCGCAACTTATTGATTCCTTGTTCAGCTGCAAGATTGGATTGGGCTTATTTTTTGTTTGTTAGAAATTTGCCAAGTCACACTGGGACTCACGAATTGTTTTAGCTTTTGCTTATATGATGCGATCTTTGTGTCGTATTTCCTAATAATTCCATGCAACTTTTCTACGTACGCGTAAAGCTGTTTTTGCTCTAGGGCCTCCACATCCTCCATAGATTTCAGCTCTATGTAATCGTGAGCCGAAGCCTCGTCGGCGGATGCTTGGGAGGCATCTGGAACGGTTGTTGACATTGTTTATGCCTTATATCGCAGCTCTACTCATATGACTTGTTTTTTAATTGTCATTGTCTAAGGAACTTATTTCTACAAGTTGTGCACTTGGGCAGCGTCTTATTTTTTCCGCAGGGAATTTTTCCACCGGTTGTCAATGTTTTTTTTTCTACAGTGCTGGCTAATGTTCTGCTTTTGGTCTTAGCGATGGGCGATATATTTCTCGAATCAGAGCTGTCAAAAAATATCGAACTAGAAATTCTAATACTGGAAACTCTAAATTAATATAGAGCGATATATATCATTAAATTTAATTTAGCATCTTACTATACTCAACAACATTTCATATGCCTAGAAAAATCAATTTCATTATAACCAAATCAGATGGATGCGTGCCAAGGCTTAGCGATATTTACCCAAACCGTGACAAGTACAAGTATTCAAAAGTAGTCGTTTACTAGTTTCAAAAGTTAAGGCGACATAAAAATACGATAGATCGATGCGCCGATGTTTTTTTCTTACGTCTCTAGCAAGAAGCTAATAAACTAAAATAAAAAATCTGTTTTTCTCTGTACAAGTTATATCATTAAGAATGTGGAACAGAAGTGTTTCGTCGATTTATATTGTTTTTGTGTTGCTTGTGCTAATTCAAAATGGTGAATTTAGGGCCTACGAAGACGTTGCTGTTATTGAAACTGCTGCTGCAGCCGTGCTAAACAACGGTGCAGCAGCAATCACAGTCCATCACGAAAAGCGCAGAAATAATGCTGCACGCTCGATGATTTGCTACTGCGATGGCAGCTGCCCGAACAATGTAAGTAACGGCACCTGCGAGACTCGGCCGGGTGGCAGCTGCTTCAGTGCCGTCGAGGAGGTATACGATGAGTTAACTGGCACCTACGAGGAGGAGCGCACCTTTGGCTGCATGCCGCCCGAGGAGAATGGCGGCCTGCTGATGTGTAAAGTGGCGGTTGTGCCCCACATTCATGGCAAGAATATTGCCTGCTGTGAAGATACAGATTTCTGCAATCGTGAACTGCAGCCGGAATTCATGCCAAAGATGACCACAGCTGCGCCCGAGCTGCCCGAAAGCAATGAATCCGTGCACACTTTAGCCCTGTTCGCCTCCATCATTGTGAGCATGTCCGTTTTTATTGTGGTGCTCTTTATACTTTGTCTGGTCCATAAGCGCCGCGAGAAGCTGCGTAAGCAACCCGGCCTTATAAACTCCATGTGCAACTCGCAAATCTCACAGCTGGTTGAGCAAAGTTCTGGGTCCGGATCGGGCTTACCGCTGCTGGTGCAACGTACAATTGCCAAGCAGATCCAGATGGTGCGTCTGGTGGGCAAGGGTCGCTACGGCGAGGTGTGGCTGGCGAAATGGCGCGACGAGCGTGTTGCCGTCAAGACCTTCTTTACAACCGAGGAAGCATCCTGGTTTCGTGAAACGGAAATCTACCAAACTGTCCTTATGCGGCACGAGAATATTCTGGGCTTTATTGCCGCCGACATCAAGGGTAACGGAAGCTGGACGCAAATGCTCTTGATCACCGACTACCATGAGATGGGCAGCCTGCACGATTATTTATCCACATCGGTGATCAATCCACAGAAACTACAGCTGCTGGCCTATTCACTTGCCTCGGGCCTGGCCCATCTGCATGACGAGATCTTCGGCACGCCGGGCAAGCCGGCCATTGCGCACCGGGACGTTAAGAGCAAGAATATACTGGTGAAGCGCAACGGACAGTGCGCCATTGCCGACTTTGGACTGGCCGTTAAATATATCTCGGAGCTAGATGAGATACATATTGCACAGAATACGCGTGTGGGCACCCGACGCTATATGGCACCGGAGGTGCTTAGCCAGACCCTTAATCCGCAACAATTTGAAGAGTTTAAACGCGCCGACATGTACTCTGTGGGCCTGGTACTATGGGAGATTGCCAGACGCTGCTATACGCCAATTTCGGGCACCAAGACGACCAGCTGCGAGGACTACGCGTTGCCCTATCATGATGTCGTGCCCTCCGATCCCACTTTTGATGATATGCATGCCGTTGTTTGCGCCAAGGGCTACCGACCGCCGATACCGTTGCGCTGGCAGGAGGATGATGTGCTTGCCACCGTTTCCAAAATTATGCAGGAGTGCTGGCATCCGAATCCAACGGTGCGTCTCACCGCGCTGCGTGTGAAGAAAACGCTCGGCCGCCTCGAAGCGGACTGCCTCATCGATGTGCCCATGAAGATTGTCTAGAATTAGATTGTCTACTTTGATTTTTATTCAATAGCTTGTTAGTTGTAGTAGTCTGTAGTCCCCTGCAGGTTTGACCTAAGTTGCATTTATATAATCAACAATTTCTTCCGTTTAATTCGTTTCTTTTTTGTCCAATCGCATGTAAGAAAATTTGTGCCTAATTGTAATCACATTAAGAGCCGTACTGATTGTATGTTAGACGTAAGTTCATTTGTTGTTAGTTTATCGATAAGGCCGTTGATAATCATTGGTTTGAAAATGCTTTAACTATTTGAGAAATCTTTTTGGATACAATACTATATTCACGAAATGTATTTGTAGATTTTCTTTTTTTTTCTGTGCCAGCTTGTGTATACTTTTTGGGTATATAACTATTTAATTAACTAGGCTAAGTTGACAAGCATCTAATGAATGCTAAAAAAAAAATTTGTAGTGCGAGTAAAATATTTGTAATTTAATGTATAAGTTATAAGTCCTCGCCAACACAGTGCAAGGTAATGCTGCCTTATGTAAAATTTAGACTAGCATAAAATACATATACTAGTTTGTAGAAAGAAATGCCGGCAAACAATTTGTCCAGCGAAGTTCTAGCGGCTGCTTCAATTAGTATAGATACCATATAGACATATAGGGGAAATACATTTAGCTCTAAGATATATGTTTGACTTGTGCAAAGGATGTTTGAAGGTGCAACAATTATATTAACCTTTAACTGTGTCCAACTTATGGCACACGCGTTCTTAAAGTTCTATTTTGGCATTAACTTAGCTTTAAGCGCATCTTTATGGATTTTACTTGATTTGTTTTCGTTGTATCTTCAATCTTGAATCACGATTTTTATTTACAAATAATAATTATAATAAACAATAATCTCCTTCAAATGGGGTCAACTTTTTGCTGTTGGCTGCTTCTTTTGTTCGCCTTCCTCTTGCTCGCTTCGCTCCTGTTGCTCCCTTCGCTCCTGTTGCTCGCTTGGTATGTCTTCTTTCAGTTGCGCATTTGTGCTTAAGCTAATCTTGGCTTTGGCACCCTTGCGCTGTGGTATGGTTTCGAGAATCGCTTGCGTCCAATCCTGTCCAGCTGCCACGCGTGTTAGCAGCTCAAACACATGGAAGGTGCTGAGCACGGCGCGTGTCTTCATATCCACGTGCTCGCTGAGCGGCAGGCGCGCCGTCAAGAGTCCAGCACTTGTGGCGCGTTGATGGCACAGTCCCTTCAAATGGTTGTGATCGACAAGGCCGCCAATCACATACGTATGCCCGGGCTGTGGTCGCTCCAGCACCGTATCCGATTCGCAGGTCAGGTAGACCAACTGCTTCTGGTCGAATAGTTCGGTGTGCGTGCGATCAAAGTGGTAGTCCACATGCCAGTTCTCCCAGCCGTCGTTCTTCTTAAGGCATTCGTGTATGTGTCCCTCGCGCTTAATGCCCGTAAAGTGCAAACGCAGCGGCTGTGCTGCACGTCGATTGATCGTGTAGATCCGCAGACATTGCTTCACACACTTGGCAATATCTCGCTCCTGCATCAGGTCATCGTAGTCCAAATCGATGGCTACGCTGATCGCATCGCCAGAGCTCTGACCACTGGTTGCTGATAGCTGCCGCCGTTTCAGCTCCTTGCGAGAGGGTCCCATACTAAGCGGCAATCCATTGGCCTTGGCCACAGCTTTCTTCTCCTTTCGGCGCTCGCGCTCCTTCTGGCGACGCAACTTTCGCAGTTCCAGCATTTCGGCGAGCTTCCGCTGCTTCTTCAACTGGTTTTTGCTCAGTGGTGTGCCAGGCGTGGTGCCCGGACAGCTACCTAGCGTAATCTCCACAGGTTGCTCTGGCCCGTTTATATCCATATTTATTTATTTATTAATTAAAAATAAATATAAGTATGTGCGATTGCTTGGCCAAGCATGTTTCAACCTATTTGGTTCATTGAACTAGCCTGCTTTCGGAACTAGTTTCACAACACTTACTACACTTAGCTACCCAGCCCTGAGGTAAACAAACTTTAAGGGCTACCGAAAGTATTGCCATTATGGTCACTTTACGCGAGAAAGTCTAGCTCAAGAAAGAAATTGTTAAAACATAATGTACCAGCCACCTTTGCCGCCTCCACAGGAGTTTCCCTCGCAACCTCCACCACCACCACCTCCCCCAGCAGCAGCTGAAACAGATGAACTAACGCCGCCCGGCATAAAAAACGAGGCCCCACCTGGCGGCGGCACTAATGATCCGACTGTGCCGGCTCCCGGTACCTTTGATTACGAGCAGCAATTTTCAAGTGTGAATAATCCCTACCACGCTCAAAGTTCTTCGACAAATTACTTTAAATATGCTGGACCGGCCTATGCGCCATACGCTGCAGGACCACCGCCACCGTACGCAGCAAATGCAGCCCCATATTCATATGACAGCTTCTCATACCAGGAGGGTTACGGACATACAAACTACCATCAACCGGCTGGCTCCTATGACTATGAGGCATACGGACAGAGTTCTTACGCATATAAGTACCAGGAACGGTATGACTACCCCACCCCCAACTATCGACCGCCCAATCAAAGATATGCGAACTACAACAATAGCAGCTACCAAGGCAACTACGGTGGCTACAATTACGGCAATCGCTACGAACAACGCTACTACAATCCAAATCCACGACAGCCGCGAGCTGGCTCCCACTCCGCGCCCGGGCGCAGCAATTTTAAGGGATCGTGGAGCGAATCGGCGTCGAATCCGCCAAAGCTGGAAACGGAACGTGATCGCCTTTTGCGTCAATGGTGCGCCAACTATTGTGAAAAGCCGGAGGATTATATTAAGAAAATGAATGCATTAAGCGAGGCAGAAGTGCCAGCCGAGTCCTGGGTACGTTCGTCGCCCGCTGAGCTATACTATGAGCGCACCAAGACCGAGCACGAGGTTAAGGCCAAGACACGACTCCACAAACTGTGCGCTCTGTTCGATGATGAGCTCCTGCAGCGGGCCGACCGTGTGCGCCAGACTTTGCCCGTTTATGTGCCGCCGGCGCGGAAAACGCGACGACGTGCGTGCAAGCACAAGCATAAGTCGGAGGCATGCTCCTCCAGCTCAGATACCGACTCGGATGAGGATGCGTTCAAAATTGAGCAGGACTGCTGCATGGAAGAGTTGTCGTCCAAGGTGCAGCATCCACAGCGCGTACATCCCGATCTGTGGCACAACGACGCCGGCGAGATGAACGATGGCCCGCTGTGCCGTTGCTCGGCCAAATCGCGACGCATTGGCATTAGGCACGGCATCTATCCCGGCGAGAAGGGCTATCCGTTGTGCGACAAGGATACAAATAATGCGGCTAGCCTGTATCATTATCGCATCACCATATCGCCGCCGACAAACTTTCTGACAAAGACACCGACTATTATCAAGCACGATGAGCACGAGTTCCTTTTCGAGGGTTTCTCTCTACTTTCCCATGTCCGCCTAACCGATCTGCCCGTCTGCAAGGTGATCCGCTTTAACATTGAGTACACCATTGAGTACGACGAGGAGAAGATGCCCGAGAACTTTACCATACGCGAATTGGATTTATTTTGTGAGTGTGCTTCCTATAACTTTAGTTGTCCTGGTTTGATAGTTTCTCTTTCAGTTAAATACCTGTTCCACGAGCTGCTGGAGCTGGTTGACTTCAATCTGATACCGAATGGCGAGGAATCCTGTCCAGCCTTTCATTTCCTGCCACGCTTTGTGCGCGAGCTGCCCGACAACGGCAAGGAAGTGCTTGCCATGTGCGAGGTGCTCAAGTATCTGCTGGACAACTCAGCCGAGCTGGTGGAGCGCCAACAGCTGCTGCACCTAAACCAAATCAGTCAGCATGAGTGGCAAAAGTACGTGGACTTCATCAAGGGCATGCTGGTGACCAAGCCGGGGCATAAGCCCTGTTCGCTGCGCGTCGATCAACTAGATCGAAACAATTCCGATTTGCCAGAGTGCTTGGATCGGGAGACTGGCATCTCGCATCCGGCGATTGTGCACTTTGGCATTCGGCCACCGCAGCTAAGCTATGCGGGCAATCCGGAGTATCAAAAGGCATGGCGGGAATATGTTAAGTTTCGTCATCTAATGGCGAACATGTCGAAGCCATCGTTCAAGGACAAGCGCAAGCTGGAGGACAAGGAGCAGCGATTGCAGGAGATGCGCACGCAGGGACGCATGAAGCGTAATATTACCGTGGCCATCAGCTCAGAGGGATTCTATCGCACTGGCATCATGTGCGATATTGTGCAGCATGCGATGCTCATACCGGTGCTCACGGGCCATTTGCGTTTTCACAAGTCTCTCGATTTGCTGGAGGAGAGCATTGGCTACAAGTTCAAGAATCGCTATTTGCTTCAGCTGGCATTGACACATCCATCCTACAAGGAGAACTATGGCACCAATCCGGATCATGCACGCAACTCGCTTACAAATTGCGGCATACGACAGCCCGAATACGGCGACCGCAAGATACACTATATGAATACACGCAAGCGTGGCATCAATACGCTGGTCAGCATAATGTCCCGGTTTGGCAAGGATCACGAGACTGTTTCGAATATTACGCACAACGAACGCCTCGAATTTCTTGGCGATGCCGTGGTCGAGTTTCTGAGCTCCATACATTTGTTTTTCATGTTTCCCGAGCTGGAGGAGGGTGGCCTGGCCACTTACCGCGCGGCCATTGTTCAGAATCAACACCTGGCTTTGCTGGCCAAAAAATTACAGCTCGAGGAATTCATGCTGTATGCACACGGCTCCGATTTGTGCCATGAGCTGGAGCTGCGTCACGCCATGGCCAATTGTTTTGAGGCTCTGATGGGCGCTCTACTCCTGGATGGTGGCATCAAGGTGGCCGATGAGGTGTTTACCGATGCACTCTTTCGGCAGGACGATAAGCTGCTTAAGATATGGAAAAATCTGCCGGAGCATCCGCTACAGGAACAGGAACCGCTCGGCGATCGTAGCTGCATTGATTCGTATCGCGTCCTCAAGGATCTGACCAAATTTGAGGATTCCATTGGCCTTAAGTTCAAGCACATTCGCCTGCTGGCACGCGCCTTCACCGATCGCTCGATTGGCTTTACCCACTTGACGCTCGGTTCTAATCAACGTCTGGAGTTTCTGGGCGATACGGTGTTGCAATTGATTTGCTCGGAATATTTATACCGTCATTTTCCGGAACATCATGAGGGTCATTTATCGCTGCTACGCTCGTCGCTCGTCAACAATCGCACACAGGCCGTGGTCTGCGATGATTTGGGCATGCCCAAGTACGCTGTCTATGCTAATCCCAAGGCCGATCTGAAGACCAAAGATCGTGCTGATCTGCTGGAAGCCTTTTTGGGCGCTTTGTATGTCGACAAGGGACTGCTCTATTGCGAGCAGTTCTGCCATGTCTGCCTCTTCCCACGCCTGCAGCTGTTCATTATGAATCAGGACTGGAACGATCCCAAGTCGAAGCTGCAACAGTGCTGTCTCACATTGCGCACCATGGATGGCGGCGAGCCCGATATACCCTACTACAAGGTGGTCGAGGCTAGCGGACCCACAAATACGCGCGTCTACAAAGTGGCTGTTTATTTCCGCTCCAAGCGTTTGGCCACAGCCAGCGGCTCGTCCATTCAACAGGCAGAGATGAATGCGGCTAAGCAGGCGCTGGAGAACTCGCGCGATTTGTTTCCCCAGCTGGACCATCAGAAACGTGTCATTGCCAAGAGCATTAAGAAACAGACGGGCAGCGAAATGGATACCGATGCCGACAAGCCCCAAGACGATAGGAAGGTCAAGAAGCCCAAATATGCGCCGCCTCTTGAGGATGAGTCCCACTTGCCCAAACAATATCGCATGCATGAGAATATATCCAGCGACGAATTGCCCGACGATGATGACGATGACAATGTTGCCACTACAAGACCCATTTGTAAGTACAATTACGATTGTATAGTAGTGTATCTTTAATTTAATCCTGTCCTTTCTAATTAAAGCGCCAGTTCCTATTTCGAGGAGAGGAAGTAGCAGCAGCAGCAGCAGCAGCAATAGTGATACCGACAGTTCCAGTACGCCGCCAAAGCGACGAGCTCGTCTGCAGGAAGCTTCGATTTCCCCCGTATCCTCGTCATCATTATAATTTTAAAATTTGTTAGCTTCGTAATAGGTCCATTGATGATAAATATACCAAAAGCGATTCTTCGAAATTTGCACTGTACTTCAGTTCAAATTTATTGAACGATCGCATTGCAAATCAAGCGCTATAACTAAATCGAGTTAATCGAATAACAAAAGTGAAAGAAAATCAAGTGATTGTTGGGGGTGAAGATTGCAAATTTTAACAAAATCAAATCGATTTAGAATGGCTATGGTACAAAATGCAATACGAATTCAACAACGTATTAATTCTCTGGTAGCTTTAGCTTTACTTAAAGAGCGATAAACGGCGTCCCAGCGAGCGCCCGCTGCTATTGAGTGCGCTTGTTATATCTGTCATCTCCGGCAAATTCTGAATGTCTCCGCGCGCAGCCACCGACGGTACTGAGCTAAGCAGTCTTTGAGCCACACGTTGAATGTCGCCAGATGTTACTTTTTCTGTTATATAATTATGTTATTTAAATTTATAGCAATTAATGTGTGCATATATTTTTGCATACCAATCTCCTTGATGAAATGTTCGGGGCGCTTCCGATAGCCCGTGACCAGCACTTGACGTCCCACATCTTCGAACACAACTGGCCTGGACTCCAGATTCATCAACAGCATCGACTGCAGCTGTATTTTGGAACGCATTAGCTCTTCCTTGCCGGGCTCGGCGCTCATGTTCATCAGTTCACGGGTTAGCACCTCGACCATGTCGCGCATGTGCTGTGGCGGCGCACTGCCGTGTATACAGAAAAGTCCAGTGTCCACATAGGCATGATTGTACGCTGTGGCACTGTACATCCAATGGTAACGGTTTAAAACTTTCGTGTACAGACGTGAGTACATGCCCTTGCCAGGGCCACCAGCGGAGAAGGATCCACCGCCGCCCATCATAATATTGAGCACGCACAATGGCACAAAGTCCGAATCTTGATGGGAGCAGCCCTCAAAGCCGAGCACAACGTGCGCCAGTTCAGGCAGCCCAGCTGCCGCATAAATGGGAATTTCGCAATGCTCCTATTTAAGTTCAGATCAAGATAAATTGTGCAATTCACTATATTAAGCTATCGTTGCTTACTTTGACTATGCCGCCCGTGTACTGTGCTACTGACGTGTCCACTTGATTGGGAGCCGCGTTTGTCAAATCTTCTTTCATCCAAATTGCTTCATTTTCGACAAAGTATTTTCTCACGTGCTCCACCAGCTCGTCATGATCCACCTAGACAAGAGTAAATAGTAATTTAATAACAAAAATTTTATGTTAAATTATGCGCCCGCGGGTAGACTTACGCCAACGCCGGCAATGACCATACGGTCCGGAGAGTGATGATATTTTAGATAGTTCATTAACACGTTGCGATCAATGCTGTCGAGGTTCTGTGGCGGGCATAGTTTTGGTAATCCTAACGTATTGTCTTTGTAAGCGGCTGCGTGAATCATGTCCATCAGTATTGGTTCCTGCTCGGGTCGCATTCCGAGTGTTTCCAATTCAAAGCTGACAGCACGACGCGCTAAGTTCACTTCCTGTTCGCTTAGCGTCGGCCGCAGAGTTACATCAGCCAGCAAACGGGTGACGGAGTCAAGAGCACGGCTGTCAATGCTGGCCGCATATATAAGGGTATCACGCGAGCTTTGGCAATCACAAATGCCGCCGTTCTTTTCCAACTCCTTGAGTATTGCATCCTTGTTAGGAAAGTTAACTGTTGACTGTGCACGGATGAAGAAGTGTTTTTTAGATAAGCACAAATGCAACTATTTTGGGGTACACTTACATTGAACGCAAGCTTTTCAAGAAAATGTGATACGCCACTAGGGTACGCTACTTCGTAGCGTGGTCCAGAGTCCAGCACCAGACCCACAGTACAGAATTGTCCATAACGCGGCTCCGAGGCAATGCGCAGACCATTAATTAATGTTGTTACCTTTGTGGAGGCGCTCTCAACCAACGGATTGGCATAAACGGCCTCCGGCAAGTTTGGCAGCGGTTCGGTTAGTGGCGGCAGATGCGTAACAATTTCTTTGGATGGCTTATTTACATTGTGCGGGCCATCCTCTTTGCTTCGCACGCGTCCGGTGATTTGACCAATTCCGGTACCACTGCCAATTTCATCACCACCGACAATGGTTACTTTTGTGGCGTAGCGCCGTGGAAATCTAATTGAACAATTATGAAATGCATTATTTTTACCGGGTTTTTGTACTACCATGCTAACACACACGATTCTTACGTGCGCCAAGAATTTTTTAGCATTTGCAGCATACTGAAGCTTCTCACGTTCATGATTTGCAGGTGATTTGGGTCTGGCCTTGAGCGTTTTCAACTATATTTACAATTTCAAATGTTGAATTTTGCTGCGTTCAAGAAATCTGTTTCAAAGACATACTTTTGAAGAAAAAAAATATTCTTCTTCTTTCCTACTGTCAATCCCATATGTCATTCGGAACTCAGAACTCATGGTTGTATTTTGATATATGTATATCGATATATCATTCGTGAAAATTTTGAAAACAATATGTATATAGGATTTTTTTTTTTTATTTTCTTGAATATGTATTTGTACATGGTTGAACACCTTACAAACTAATCAAAATTGAAGCGCCGCTTTCCATCAAAGCGGTAGCCATAGGCGGCGGCATTTTTGGTGTCCACCAGTGCGGGATTTCGATGCTTGAAGAAGCTGCCATGCCCGTGAGCTGGCCGAGAAGCACTGTTTGGTATGCCCTCCACTTCACGAGGATAGAAGGCCTCAAACATTCCAGCAGGTGGAAGGCAACACTCAACTATTTTGGTATCATTTGGATCATATGCGTTTATTTTAATCAATTCATGTTGTGCGCACAAAAAAATCACCATAATATTGAAAAGTTTCGTAATTAAAGTCATTGTTAGTTGTACACACGCGGATCTCCCTTTTACTTTTTGTACACAGTAGTAGCTCGTTGTCTTGGTCGCTAAACTTGTTTTCTGTTGCTCGGTCAATTTAAACTTGTTTCAATTGCTGTGGCACAAATTATACTGACTACTCCATAATCCGCTGCTCTGCTGCTGCACTAGGCTTAAGTTCGATTTTGCATGCTTGCATTTGAATAACAGAAGCTTTTTCATTTTCAATTTTCGCGCTTACTTTTTGAAACTCATGGGCAACGCCAAGGTGGTTTTGTTACAAGTGGCAGCCCCAGAACAACCAGAGACATGTAGGAGTTTTATAGCACGGTAAATGCACAATGTAGAGCTTTCAACACGAAAAATAAATAATTAATAGTTGTATTCTTAAATAAAAGGTTTGTGTGGTTAATTTGATTTGTTTCGAATTACCAGGGTCTAGGAAAATAATATAAAAAATAGGTCGCGTGTTGTATTAATAACTTAACGTATTCAGTTTAAGTCGTGCCTATTTAAATCAAAATCACGGATCGCGCTCATCTCTTTCAGCTTGAACAGCAGTGCCAAATTGGTCCATTCAGAACGAAACCAATACCGAGGGAGATAAGAAGTGTTTTCATTTTTATTAAGTCGACGTTATATCGATAAGCGCTTTAAACAGCTATATAAAAATATGTCGTATAACCGTATGAAAACGCCCAAAGATTCAGGTAAGTTGCTATGGCAAAATTATAAACATGCATTTTTGGAAAATTGATAATCTGCATAAATATATGTATTTCCATATGCATACAATGGCATTCTTTCAAAATTAAATTTAGCACTTTTTATTTACCCGAAAACATTCAAATGCATGTAACAAACAGAGTTCTGCGAATGTATATGCAAATGTAAATAATATGTATGTATCCAATATGTGTTTTTCCCGGCGCAAATGACGCAGTGCTTCGTGCTTCGTTTTCCCTGAATTCAGAGATACACATACCTAAATAGGTATGGGAAATTTCCTAAATTAACCAGCTAATGTGGATACTTTTTAATCGTAGAGCCACTCAACAATGAAGAGCGCTATCCACCGATACCATTGCCTGGGCCACCGCCAGCCGGCCCGGAAACAAAGAACACGGAAAATCTGAACAATCCAAATGCAGTTGGCAGGGGGGAAACTATGAATGCGGCACCGTTTTTGGAGAGCGGGCAAATTATAATGCACAGTACACCTGGATTTGTTGGTGCCGATGCAGATAGCTTGGAGGCAAAGAATATCATCTTCAATGATCAAAGCATACGCAAGGGCTTTATACGAAAAGTATACCTTATTCTCTTGGTAAGCCTTGGATGTAAACCAAATTTCAAGTATTTTCTCTAATCATCTGTTTCGCTCTTGCAGACACAATTGCTCGTCACTTGTGGTGTGATATCCATTTTTATGTATCACGTGCCCACCAAGCACTTTGTCCGGGAAAACCCGATGGTGGTGTGCGTCGCCATGATCGTCAACATTGTGGTCCTGATCTCGATGGCCTGCTGTGAGACGGCTCGGCGCAACTTTCCCATTAATTTTATTTGTCTGGGCCTATTTACGGCTACCATGTCGCTACTGCTGGGCGCCGTGGCCAGTACTATGGACGCAAATGTGGTGCTACTGGCGGTGGGAATAACTGCGGTATTGGTTGTGGCTCTGTCCATATTTGCCATACAAACCAAATATGATTTCACAGCCTGGGGCGGCGTCCTAATCACGGTGGTAATCTGTTTGTTGATCCTTGCCTTTGCGGGTGCATTTTTGCGTGGAACCTTCGGTGAGACGGCGGTGTCATGCCTTGGTGCTCTGCTGGCCAGTTTCCTGCTAATCTATGATACACAATTGATAATTGGCGGCACACATAAGTATCAGTTTAATCCGGAGGATTATATATTCGCGGCATTAACTTTGTATTTAGATGTTGTGCGCATTTTCTTGTATGTGTTGCGTCTGGCCAGAAGGTAAATGATTCTCCTCCGTTTTCCTCATAAATATTGCACATTGCTTGACATTATGAATCGAATCGAACACAACTGAGTGTATATCTATGTGAATTTATTATTAATTGTATACAGGATTTCTTAAAAGTTTATTTACAAAAACGAATTCCAAAATATTTTAGACAAGACTCCTATAAATGTAAAAAAAAACCCTTTAAGTTAAGCAAAACATAAAGGCCATCAAATGGCAAGCCAAAATGAACATTCAGATGAAAAATAAATATTGTAAGCCGATATTGAATGGTTTATAACCAAACGCTTAAACAGACTCACGGCCTAATATTAACATTGTTTATTATTCAATGAAATCTGTCTTTTTTTTATATTAGGTAATTGAAATCAAAAACAGACACTGGGTGCATTATTTTTGTTGTACTTTGTCCTTTATTAAGCTAACGTTTTTGGCTCATTTTGTTTTTTATAGTACATTTAATATGTATGTTATTATATATTTAGTTATTTGTATTGATTATGTATGAATATGTGTGTAACTATCAAATACAATCACAACAAACCGTATGTAATTCCTTTTAATTATTTACATAAATAATCGTATTTAAGTTAGGCAGAGTATCATTATAAAACAAATATTCAGTATAACACAAATAAGTAACTAAGGCGTATTTACTGGACAGAAGCTGCTGCTGCTCTGCTGCTCCTCTGCCTATACAGAGTATAGCATTATGTATGTATAAATTTGATCTATGTATGTAACTAATCTATGCTGAAATCACTGTAAATACAACGAACTTCTCTCGATATGATGACCGTAAGTATGTGTAAATGTAATGTTTGTTTTGTCTAAATAATAAAGGCTATTATCTGCAGTTTGATCCAGCGGCTCCTGAGTGTGTGTGTATATACAAATAAGGAATCGGTTAGATGTATATCAAAGACTCAGTCCTCCGTGAACGGATGATCCGATGTGTCGCTGCTGTTGCGTCTGCGACTCTCCAATATTTTGGTCGCCTGCTCTAGCGTCTCCTTGTAGAACATGTTGTCCCTCGCATCGCTCGGCAGCGAGTATTTCGAGTCGTCCAGATGCCATGTCAGGCCCAGGACAATGTTGAAAGCAGACGCATCATAGCCATGACAGCCAGAATACCGATAAAGTGGTTTCTTGTTAAACTTGCAGCCATTCGATTGGGCACCTAACAGTTAGATAAAATAACAAATAGCAATTAGATAACCGATTAGCCTATTATCAAATCAGATACAATTATCAAATAGTTTGTCCAATTTTGTTCGGCTCCCTTTTTAAGCCTTTTTATTATGCATCATTTAGTTCATTTATAGCAATGTCTCGTGCTGAGTGGAATCCCAAATCAGGTTGGTATTGCTATTTAATCCCCTTGCAATATAATAGATATATACCCTACCTAAAACGGACAGCACAAGACGTCAGCATACAGTGTGAGCTTCTGTCCGATGGACGCGCCTACGCATTCGATATACCCGATATTGGACCAAGGCGTCGATTGGTGCGTCGCTTTTACTATTTGCTAATGGTAGGTCGCTCAGTTGAAAATATTTTAAATATATGTAACTATTATTATATTTTATCCACAGCTAGAGATCGCATTGACGTTGCCCTGCTTGGAGATTATGTTCATGCTTTCGATTTCGTATAATCAGCTATTCTTACGGTGCGTCACCATTGTGGTGCTATTAATTTTTTACACGTTCCTCTATCTATGGCCGAATTGGCGACGCAAGCCTCCCTACAATTACGGCGTGTTCCTGTTGACATCTCTCTCAACCGCCCTCAGCATGGCTATCTATTTAATACAGCTCGGTCAAACACGTTGGGTGCGTATTCCTTGATATTCCTATATTGCGACTGATATATATCATTGCTCCTCCTTTCCAGCTGCATGCATATCCGCTGATTGTTATTACGGAGCTCTTGGCTGTCGCTTTGTACACTAAACAGGAGCGACTAAAATGTTCTCATGGCGTGGGCGTGATTATAATATATTTGGTTTTTGGACTGTTTCTGCTGTTGGCATACTTTTTGGACATGTTTTTCAAGCTGCTCGGCCTGTTCGCGTGCACGCTGGAGGCCTGGTATATCATCTACGATACACATCTGATGCTCTCCGGCCGACATGGCTACAAGGTGGAACCCGAGGAGTATGTGTTTGCCGCTGTCAATATACACGCTGATGTGCCCAAGTTTTTGTGGCTCATAATTAGGCACTTTGTATTCGGACCATTTGTAATGTTACTTCAACTAATACGAAATTGCCGTACAAGTGAGATATGCTAGGATATGGGATTTACAGAATGGAATACTTAGCTACATGGATATACATCTATTCTAATACAAATTTAATATCCTATTTCACGATTTATTCCATATATCCGAATTCATGGCGCAATTTGCTTATTCGATATAAATTCAGAAATCTTTTGTGGAAGAAATAAGTATATGGATATAAATATACGAAATAGAGTATATGGATACGGGATTTACAGAATGAAATACATAAATACATCTATTCTTATACAATTCCAAACCGAAATATAATATCCTATTTCGTGAGCAATTTATTCCATATATCCGAATTCATGGCGCAATTTGTTTATTGGATCCTTTGTGGAAGGTAAATGTAAGTTTTGTAGCACAGCTTCTGATTTTTTCGATTTTTCCCGTACCCTAATTGCCGTTTTCCATTAACGGGGTTGCCCAGAGAAAAGCCATTAGATGTCAGATTTGAGTTTGGGATCGAAAGGAACCCAATTATGTGTACATGTATGTGACACGTTTGCTATCATCAACTAAATGCGCTGTAAATAATGGTCATTAGCGCAGGACAGGACTATGCGGACTTTGAATGTGACTTTGAACTAATGACATCATATGTAAACAACAAAACAAAAAAAAAAAAGGAACACTCACCAATTGGATCGATGCATTCCATGGTGAGGGCACATTTTAGCCACGGCAGCATTATCTTGTCCGTGACAAAGAGTGTGTCCGCAAAGAAGACCGCATCGAGATCAACCATACGCAAAAATATAAAATCCTCCGCGTCCGATTCAAAATAGTCGAACATCTTTGGATGTGTGCGCGATGAGACGGCTGTTGGTGTATTCCAGCCCAAGACGCCGGCGACCAAGGCTCGACTCTGCAGATCCTGCAGCTCCCGATAGTTGCCGCCGCGTATGCGCATATAGTTTTCGGTAAAGAGCACCGATTTGGCCCTCATCAAAGCATCCTTTATCACAATGGGCCGATATGCGTGCGTTCGCTGATCGTTGACGAACGACGGAAACTCCGTCAGATCGTAGGTGATGACAGCGCATCGGCTGCTGTTGCAGTTGGCGTTCAGGGAGCGCAGCTGCTCCTCGGACACGCCCAGATCGTAGATGAGCAGCGACTCGCTGGGCAGCTTGGCCGCAATGTTTTGGGCCAACAATATGGCCGACGACACCTGTCCCTCCTGCACATAGGTGACTATGGTAAAGTTGGCCTTGGTGCCGTTGTACGGCGTCGTAATGCGTTTCCGCTGACTCTTCTTCTGCTGCTGGATCAGTAGCTCCTGTCCCTGGGAATGCGACGCTACCGCTGCCAGCTGCTGCGCCTCGCCGATCTCCTGCGCCGCCCTTTTCGCCGTGACGGGCGTGTCTGTCTGTTGCTGGTGGACCGCATATTGCGGCTGCTGGGAGGCATCATCCTTTGTGCTTAGCGGCGACGTGAATCCCAATAGCGCCAAATACTTTGGCTCTAGCTCGAGTTTCTTGCGTTCCAGGCCAACGCGTAAGTTCTCCTGAAAGCAAAATACAAATCAACTGAAGTTTTGTAAATTTTCGAAAATAACAAGAAGCACAATTTATATAGATTTCGATGTCCGTCTAAGACCTAATATGTCGTGGACTTCCCTAAGAGCGAGGTCTTGCTCAAGCATAATAACACAAAATTTCTTTCCGATCAATGTGGAGCAACCAAATTAGTCCCAATGGGCGCGCCGTAAACTGTTGTTTACAGTGGAATATTTATTATTTTTCGTGGTTTTTCCGTCTCATACCTCAGAGTCTTACGGGCGTGTCATGTGCCAGTAAAGAATTTGTTTTCCCCTCAGCCGAAACTGATTATGTGGGTGGCGCCAGACCCCCCCCCCCCCCCCCCCCCCCAAAGAGAAACAAGTAAGAGGTTCTAGTCGGGAGCTGCCGACTAGGGGATACCCTGAACCCTCTGCTTCCAACAGGCGATAGGTATAAAATGAAAGATACTTGATATATATATATACTATTCTAGATGTCAAGTTTGGTGGCTCTAGCCACCATCGATTATCGATTATCGATTACTTGGAAACGGGGCAAGTTATCGATTATCGGAAACAAACTCGATCTGCGCGGGGACTAAGAGGACCTACAGCTAAAATTTCCAGTCTCTAGCTCTTATAGGTTACGAGATCCTGGCGTTCATACGGACAGATCGTCGGACGGACAGACAGCCGGACATGTCTAGATCGACTCGTCTGTTGATGCTGATCATGAATATATATACTTTATGGGATCGGAGATGCTTCCTTCAGCCTGTTACATACATTTGCACAAATACATTATACCCTTTTTACCCATTTTCAATGGGTTCAGGGTATAAAAATAAGCCAACATTTTATGATTGTCGTCGCCCGCAAATCGCATGACAGCCTGACATCCTCCATCCGACCTCTGCGTCTCTCCCTTCCGGCTACACTGTGTGCGCCAAGGCCCATGAGGCCCCTTCTCAACCTCCATCATTGGACCCAAAGTGAATTGGCTCATGTCAATTGCAAAGTTGATTGAAACTGTTAACTGTACGGAATGCAAAAACATTTCTAGAAACATTGAGCATTTCGCTGAACCGAATGAAGATTTGAGTATTGGAGTATTAAATGCGGGTTTTGAACGTTCGCAATCTTGAGTCGAGAATTAAAAAGAAAACAAACACGAGAAAACTGAAACCACGATAAGAAAGTTGTATAAACATGTAAGGGAATTGTAATGTCAAAAAGCATATACATGCTTAAACAGCCGATATCTGTCTGTTTGTCTGTCCCCGTCATAAACCTATTCAATAAATGATATATATATATAAGAAACAGGGCACAGTTTCCACCTTCTGCCCAGTTTCCTTTAAATGGGCTCGCTTATTGATTTTCTAGGAAATTGCATTATGGTCATTGGGTTTTTTTTCTCTCTCTCTCTCTCTCGTGGTTGATTGCACATTTTCCCAGAAACAAGATAGTTATTCGACTTTCCCATTTAAATACTCCCAAGTATTTAAATATAACACAGTAGGCTTTAAATTTCATGAGCACAAGTTGTTGTCTTGAAATATGTAGACTGACAATTATTATTATTACACTCTATTTACAACAGAAGACAACAAAATATGTCATAAAAAAACAACTAAATAAAAAACAACAACACGAACATAAAAAACGATTCTTAAATAAGAAAATACATTAATAAACTATGCCATAAATAAAAAATAAAAAAGCCGCAGAAAAACAACTACACAAACATAAAAAACGATTTTTAAATAAAAAAAAAAATTACATGAATAAACTATGCCACAAATAAAAAATAAAATAAAAAAAGCCGCAAAAAAATAAGTGAAAATAAACCAAAAAAAAATAAGCTTAAAAAAAATTATATCAAATAATAACTGGCAAAATATTAACAATAAAATAAAAAACGATTTTTAAATATAAAAAAAAAACATTAATAAACTATGCCATAAATAAAAATAAAATAAAAAAAAGAAACAAAAAAATATAAGTGAAAATAAACCAAAAAATATAAGCATTAAAAAAAATTATATCAAATAATAACTGGCAAAATATTAACAATAAAATAAAAAACGATTTTTAAATATAAAAAAAAAACATTAATAAACTATGCCATAAATAAAAAGAAAATAAAATAAAATAAATAAAGACACAAAAAATAAGTAAAGAAAAAAAAAAAACATTAAAAAAATTGCATCAAATAATAGCTGGAAAAATATTAACAAATAGGACACCGGAATGGATGATTTGACAAAAGATCAATTGGCAATTTTTCAAGAGTTTTTCAACATAATTGACGTGGAAGCGGATGGCAGCGTTACGTACAAGGAGCTAAGTGTCCTGCTGCGTGCCTTGGGCGGCAACCTGACCGATGCGGTTGTCCATGACATGATCAATGAGTCGGACGAGGATGGCAACGGTTCGCTAGACTTTACCGAATTCACCAAGATATTGCTACGGAAAATGTCCGATACGGATCGGCCGGATGATCTGCGTGAGGCATTTAGGATTTACGATAAGGACAACAATGGCTTCATCTCGCAAGCTGAGCTGCGCACAATTTTTACACAAATTGGCCTCAAAGTGTCCGATGATGATATTGACGATATGATCCGCGAGGCGGACGTTGATCAGGATGGGGTTTTGGTGTTCGAAGAGTTCGCCAGCATGATGATGTCCTTGGATGAGAATTAACTGAATTGATAAGGTCGGTTTCTCAATATTTGTTTATTCATGCATCATCGTCACGATCCATCATAGTTGAATATTGAGAATTCGGCCTTAAGAATAAATATTTTAAATCGAATCCATTCGACAGCAAAGTAGTCCAAATTTTGAGCCCTGCGATGAATCTAGTTTACCTTTTAAACGAGAATTTATTGAGATTTACTTCCAAACAAAAACTACACACAAAATTATATTCAGCTATAATTGAAAAAAATTCCAAAAATTGTCGAAAATAACGGAACAATGGAGGGTTCAGCAGGAGTCGCATTGACCGAGGATCAATTAAATGAAATACGCGATGCTTTTAGGGTTTTCGATCAAGGCAACACGGGCAAGATCACGGGCAAGCAAATGGGAATTGCGATGCGCTCGCTCGGATACTGTCCCACAGAGGCGGAGCTGTACGAGCTGATCGATGAGATTGATCTGGATGGGGATGGCGAGATAGACTTTTTGGAGTTTCAACTGATGATAGCGCGGCGCATGGATGGGCTGTCCAAGGAAGAGAATCTAATGGCCATATTCAAGCTGTTCGATCGCGACGAGGATGGCATCATAGCGCCCGTGGAGATGCGTAATGTTATGTACAATCTGGGCGAGCGATGCACTGACGAGGAATTCGATGAAATGATGAAGGAAATCGATGCCGACAACGATGGCAAAATCAGCTATCAAGACTTTGTTAATGGCGTTAAGAACTAAAAAGCTAACAAATTCGAATGATTCACATTATTAATTTGTTCTCAAAAATATAGTTAAATACGCGCCTGAATTCCCTTAAGGCCCTTTAATTGGACATATGGCGATTCCACTTAACATTTCTAAAGCATTTCATTTGTGTAGCAGCCCAATAAAGCCAAACAAAGCCAGGCCAGCCCAGACCATGACACGCAGTTCCTGCAAGTCGGCACCATAATCTCTTTTATACCCTTTCACAGGTTGTTATAACTAACAAGTTGTTTTATTCCTGATCGTTGCGAACAGCCATATTAAAGTAGCCGCATATCTGTCCCAGGGATTTGGAATTGGCAGAGATCCGCATCGCATTTGGAGCCGGATTGGACAACTCAATATCATATATGTAATATCTTTCAGTTTTCCCAAGGTATCTTAAATGGCTTGTAGCTTTGATCGGAACTATTAAATTTCTCCATGGGAACACGGATAGAAGTAAGCCGCAAGGATATATAATATTCGTCATGGCAAAGAGCGTGATATCCTTACTTTTTATACCCTGAACCCATTGAAAATGGGTGAAAAGGGTATAATGTTTTTGTGCAAATGTATGTAACAGGCAGAAGGAAGCATCTCCGATCCCATAAAGTATATATATATATATATCGATCTAGGCATGTCGGTATGAACGCCAGGATCTCAGAACCTATAAGAGCTAGAGCTTGAAATTTTAGCTGTAGGTCCTCCTAGTACCCGCGCAGATCGAGTTTGTTTCCGATAAACGATACCTTGCCCCGTTTCCAAGTAATCGATAAAAAAATCGATATCGAAATCCTGTTTTTTGGGCAATTTCGGCAAATAATATGAGCTAGAGCCACCAAACTTGACATCTAGAATAGTATATATATATATATCAAGTATCTTTCATTTTATACCTATCGCCTGTTGGAAGCAGAGGGTTCAGGGTATCCTCTAGTCGGGAGCTCCCGACTAGAACCTCTTTCTTTGTTTTTTTTATTGCCATCCTGTGCTGCACGTGAACAACAAATTGAATGTGGAATTTCGTTTGGGTTGGTCGCGCGTGACTCGAAATGTCCGCATGTGCCTAATGGCGCCTCGGAGTGTGTTGCGGAGTAAGGGAGCAAGGCGCCATTACACACGAGCACACACAGACCAAATTTTTACAGCAATTGTACATTCCGAGTGAAAAAAAATTAACAATCCGGATTACGAGCACAAATTAAAAGAGCTTTCATCTGCTCAGGGTTTTAGATTGTATCAAATACGCAGCTCAGGTCACCAGAGGATCAAACTGAATGCAGAAAGTAGCAGGCCTTTGTTATACTCTACTCGTTGACCCCGAATGCCTGCTATACTATACTAAGAGGCTCCACTTGGCAATGTAATATTTGGCAACCCTTTACCCTCAAAAATGTTAAAAAACGGAGTATCTCGGGCAACAAAGTATTGTATGTTTGTTATGAGCAGACGAGCCTGAATACAGGGCATCTTCTAGTCGGGCTTGATTGGAGCTCTCTACTTGTCACAGAAACTCTTTTGTCTTCTGCTTGGTTTGTCGCCTTTGAGCTTTCGCGTGCACTTTGGAGCTAGGCCAGTCGGTTGTTCCTCTAGGTCATCGAAAGCTCATTTGAGCTATATTATATTCAATTATTAAACAATATCGAGCGTGCTGTGAAAGGTCGTGTCGCGGGCGAGCTGCATGTAAGCTAAGTAGACGGCACATTTCACTGCGAACCCTGCAATTAATTGATGTCACTTAGTTCAGGAGTCAGAGGTCAGTTGATGGACTACGCCTCTCGTTGGACGTTAGACGATGGGACACACTTTAAGTGGCTAAATGACTTCGAAGTCAATTAAAGTAGATTAGGGCATAGAAATTTTCATAAAAATGTATAATTAACAATTGATTTGAATACTGCAATTAAGATTAAAGATAAGACAAATTAAATTTGTAGAGTATCCAATTTTTTTTGCCAAGGCCTAACAAAAGCACAACAGCTTGATAAAGGGTGGAAAATTTGTCGTTTTAAAAAGGTAAATTTAAAATGTACTTATGACGAGGTCCAATATTCCAACCCTTGGCTACATATACGTATAGAACAAAATATATATCACAACACCTGTGTGGTTCCCATTGGAACAGCGCTAGAGAACTAGAGAATTGTAATTGGGCTCGCTTGCATCAGCACATTTATTTAAACTCGTAGTTAGCTAAAACAAGAAACAGACTTTTTTTTAGAGGCTGCGGATTTAATACCCTTCCACAAACAGTATATATTTCTATACCTAACCGGGTAGGGCCCTGAAATACAAAGACTTCATTTCTGACCGACTTCTGTTGGCGCTGTATGATAAAGTTGGTCAACTTGGATATATGGTATACATCTATGCTAAGTTTTAAAATATCATTGCAGTCGAGAGACTAGACTAGACTAGAGACTAGAGACTAGAGACTAGAGACTAGAGACTAGAGACTAGAGACTAGAGACTAGAGACTAGAGACTAGAGACTAGAGACTAGAGACTAGAGACTAGAGACTAGAGACTAGAGACTAGAGACTAGAGACTAGAGACTAGAGACTAGAGACTAGAGACTAGAGACTAGAGACTAGAGACTAGAGACTAGAGACTCGACTAGACTAGAGTTATCTAGGGCTTTTAATACTGAATCCAGAATATTTATTTACTTATTTATTTATTAATGGTTGAAAAAAACGAGTGTCTTCCCAATTATTTAATACACAAAATTATGAAAATTGAAGTCTAAAAGCCTTAATTAGAATACACGAATTTCTAATAGCATCAACAACATGATGGAGGTGTCTTATTTGCCCGTCCGGGGAAACAAAATATTATACTACCGTCGACAAAATTAAATATATCCCGATTAAAAGGAAAAAACCGAAATAAATAATAAATAGGAAAACATCAAGATATATCGACTTTTAAGTAGATGTGACAAAAGAGATAGTGATGGGAAATGATCGACCCGGTGGGGAAAATTCTCCCCAATTCATAGCTGGGAATGGTCAGTGAGTTCCCGAAGGTATCCTGAAAGCAACCATTTTATTAGGGAGGGAAAATTCGGTGGAGAAAACGTGATACAAACTATTGTAATTTTTATATGGTAATCAAAAATAAATAGGTAGGAATAAGGGGCGATAATTCCTGGTGGAACAGAGAATTGAAGACGTCCTTACAGAAAAGAGGAATCTATGTCGCCAGCAATCAACTTATGTGGGAAGATAAACCCGGGAATTGCCCTTCGGTTAGTTAACGACGGAAGATCAAGAAGAAGCAGAAGCCTGCCGGAGTAGGATGGCAACTGAAGATTGGGGGGGAACTGGCTCAATACGACTCAATATATATGCTTGGCAGTTAGTGAAACAATTCGAATAGACTCCGGAAAGGGTATCATAAGTGGCGACATTGTGAGAACTGAAATATGTCGGTATATAGTATATGTTTATTTGTGTACTGTGAATAGTTTCCAGAAAGCGGACAACCCGCGGCTTTTTAGCACTTGACGTCAGTTTAACCGAACGACGATGATCATTGCAATTTATTATTCGTCATCATCGTCATGCATCGGGCTGGATGCGTGAGTATCTAGCGGATACTTGACAGTTTTTGAAGCACCTTCTTACCAGGTGCGGCGCACTTGTCAACAGTCCGCGATGTCTTACGCAACTGGAGGCGGCACCAAATGGGGCCTGAGCTGCTGAAATTTGGTTCAATTGGTATTGAATATTGATGAGCTCTCTTTATACTATTCACACCTGTGTATTGTTGTATGTGTGATAATGGAAATCATGTGCAACTGTAACACGACCTATCGCAAGTAAAACCAGTTGCAGATAGTCGAATAGTCGGATAGCTTCCACAATACTAAATAGAGACTAATGAAATACAATGAGCTCTCTGTGTTGTCTGTGACTTTCGGTTTTAGATGGTGTGAGAACAAGTTTAGCAACTGAAAGGCATCAGACACATGTATACCAATTATACACGCATATACACACACATCAAGTCGATATGTTTTCGCTGTTCAATATATATATATTAAGTAAACAACGAAGCTGTTCAGCAAAAGAAAACTAACAACAAGAGTGCTCTAGTCGGGAGTGCTCGGCTCGCAAGTACCCTGGAACTCATCGAGCTGCCATTTCAGTTCGTCTAGCCAAACATAAAATATAGAAACAAAGGCGCTCAATGGAGAAAAAGCTTTCATGCATTGACTCGGACCTTATTGACCGATCTATAGGAAAATTCAAATCCCAAGACTATACTTCTAACATAATATTTTTTTTTTAAAACACGTCCTGTTATCTTTCTCGCCCCCCTCTGCGATTCTCATGAATTCAAGTATGACCCACAGGTTTTCATGCTTCAATTGTTATTGTTGTAATAACATGTTGTTTTGGCATAATAATAAACTTTATTTTCGTGTGTGAGTATACACATATGTACATATAAAAAGGAATATATGTTAAGGCAATTCAGTTTCTTGGGGTATATATGTATGTAAGTACTTTATTGGTTAAAAGTCTGCTTTCCTCTTCAAGTCAAAGTACATAAAGTATATGCATATTTATATATAAAACCTATCAACTATTAATCATACACAGAAAAACAATACAATAGTTATGTAAAAAAAAAAAATATTAATTTTTTTTTTATACTTTTATGTTTTTGTAGGGCTTATATGGGCTTATATTCAAGTGATTAGATTCAGATAAGCGGTCGATGCAGCACATTTTACTCAAACAGCAGATAACACAAAAAATGTTGTTGCCGATCTCGCCTTACACGGCGTATTCAATATCTAGTACTAGAGCAAATATGATATAGATAGATATTTCTCAACGAATTTCTATTTGATTTGCGTGTCACTTGATGTAATCCAAAACTAAGTTGGGCTCAAAAGTAACTCAAAGTAAAACCGCTGAAAACATGATATTTAATATGCACGCCGGGGTTGGGGCCGGGGCCGGGGCCGGGACTGGGGCTGTGAATGGATTCGGAAAGTGGCTGCCGCAATCTAATTAAAGTAAACAATAAACGTTCTGGCCACACACAAAATTAAGGCAAACAAAACTCGAGCCAAGGAAACCGCTTACTCAATCATGATATAAGTATGTAATACTTTCCATATACATATGTGAAAACATATGCCTGTGTGCATATGTTATGTATGTTATCGAAATGTGAGAATGAAAGTTGCGTATGGAATTTGCATGTAAACAAACAGCAGGAAAAGCTAAAGAACTCCCTTAACTAATGCCCGGAACTTGAATGATGATGAGACGGACATTGGCAGGCATGCCAGTCAAATGATGATATCTTTTGGGTCATTTACGCGTTTGCCTTGGCCAGGCAAAGACTGTCCGGTTATTCTTGCCAGCACTCTTCAACCGACGAGACGTGTTTCAATTTAGCTAAAAGCCCTCCTGAATAGAAAGGACAAGAGTGCTCGAGTGGCCGACTACACAATACCCTCTAGATATCTTCAAGTTATTCAATCTGCCTATGGCATTTGCATAAAACCGTTATACCCACATTTTCAACCCATTATACAGGGTGCAAGGGGTGGACAGTTCAAACAGTTCCTTTGACAGACCCTCTGTCCATATCTGACTCTTTATGCCAGCTGGCAGCTAGTTTGTATTATCATTTGCCAAAAAATAAATACAAAAAAAAAAGAAAATGTCGCACTTGACATTGGTTTGTTGGTTGACACCATTGAGCTATGCTAACAGATAATATTTGGCAACCCCCTTTAAATGAGTCATGCGAGGAAAACCCAAATTCAAATTCAAATTTATACATTTATTTCAGTTTGCAGACAACGCTTTGACAACATTTAATGCATTTTTATGCCACATGATTGTATTATATATAAAACTGCTTAAGAACAGCTGATAAGCGCAAAATATTGCTCAATGAAAACGGAAAAATCTGACCGGCCTAGAAGAAGAAAGCTGTCACGTAGTTGCACTGATAACAACCATGTTATCACAACAGCAACAGCAACAGCAACAACAACAGCAACAACAACAGTTACAGTAACTGTTACGTCCCTCGACTGTTTGGGTACATGTAAACAAATTTGGATATGTTGGGTTTGGCAAGTTATTAACATAGATAAAGAGAGAGAGGGAGAGAGAGAGAGAGGGAGGACTCACCTGAAACTCTTTGAACTGCTGATGCGTCTGCACGACAATGTGCTTGAAGGAATCGTTCGGTTCGCCAGCGGGTCCAAACACAATAAATACGAGCGTTGCGATTATCACTCCGATTAGTATCAATATTAAATGTTTAGTTCGCATGGCCGCTAGAGTAGATTTCGATTTCGATTTATAGGCAATTTTGCGGGCAAAAATGCGCTTCAGTGTGAGTGAGGCCTCCAGTCTGATAGCCGCAAAGTTAACGGCAGAGATAAATCAAGTTTCAATGGATTGAAATAACGGGAAACGCGTGAAAACCATTTTAAAGTTTGACGGATAGTTTTTTTTTTTGCATTACAAATTTCAATTATTTATTTTAGCTTGGCTTCTTCACATTGTTTTTTTTTTCCTGTTTAATATGTTGCCAAGCGTTAAATTAAATTAAATAAAATAATATTGTTTCGTGAAGGTCAACAAAATTAATATTCTTTGCAGTCAATAAAATGCACTTTTTATTTATTTATAGTTTGTTGTTGTTGTTTTTCAATCAAATATATGCAATGCATGCACTGAACTATAACAAAACAACATTAAATGCGGATAACCAAATGCAGTGTTTAATTGAACAGTCGCTGCAAGCAGTCAGTGGCCGCACAGCGCATTATTGGTATATTTTTATATGGTTTGTATTGCATTTATGTGTATTATATAATCGGTGAACAGTTAACATGTTGATAGATATTAAGTACTCTTTTCTTTTGTGTTCGCCGACTTCCGCACATCAGTGTATGCACTCACACAGCAGAGAGATATGCATATGTGTGTGTGTGCCTTCACCTTTGTGGGTTGATTTTATGGCGCACAGCCAAAGCAGAGCCGCAAGGCGAGCGTTTAATGAATAGACAACCTATTCCTTTGGTGTGTAAGGCGAATGATGTTGTTTTCAAGTGATTGAGCTCGATTGTTTCAACATACGATGTAAGTGGCGCTTAGCAAAAGGCGCCGACAATTTTCAATTTAAAGCGTTGCCGCCGATTCGCTTTGGCGCTTTTTGTTGTTGATTTTAATTCGTTAGGTGCAGCTGCATTGCCGGTGCAGCCTCCATACAACGGAAAACCTTGAAGCACGCGTAATTTCACACTCACTTATTTGTGCATGCAAACTGTTATATTGTGCTTTTTACATAATTTGTAGTTGTTCTTTTAACTTTCACTTTCACTTTCTTGAAGCGGCCAAAAAGCAGGGCTGTACGCATCCAACACTTTACCGACAACCGACCACTACTTTTCGAGTATAAACAAATGAAACTACTCGTTAGCTTGTGATGTGTGCAGCGCGATAGTTTTGCCAGCTACTACGCAGATTTCAGTGTGAAAAATCGGCTGTAAAAATCGATTATTATTTTAGTAACGATAAGTTGAGTAACGTTTAACATTTATTTTCAGCTATTTTTTCCTGTTCCTATTGCTTGTATTTAAATATTTAATTTAGTTAAGAAATAAGAAATAAGAAATTATAATCGAAAAATTTGAAAACAGCTGTGTTCTTTATGTTTCGCTCATGTTAAAAATAAGCGTTAGAACCACTTAGCAGCTGTTAAATTTGATTTTAGAACTCAGTAATGTTTTCTCCAAAAATTACTGCTAGCGAGAAGGAGTTTTTTATTAAGCAGTCATTTACAATAATGCGCATTACCAATTACACAATTATACTTCTGTAAAGGTGTAGAGGACAAAAAAAATTCGAGCTCACTGTTAATAACAGTTGAGCACAGTGTTTAGTTTTGCGATCACAAATTATAACATAAACAGTGTTGTCATATACCGTACAGATGTACGACAAGCAGGGACTGCGTCGCTAGGGAAAAATATGTGCTAAGTGCGCGGATAGTTAAAAGAAATAGCTTATATACCAAAAAAACTAGTTAAAATCGCGTCTGAAATTAGAGAAATTACAATCAGTAGTATTTATAATGAACATATACAACAAATTGCGTCGCAGAGAACATGGACTGGGTAAGAAAGAAGCGTAGCGCGGGCAATTTATGCAATTTGGCGCTCGAAATGCATTCCCGCTCCTTTCGCGGGAAATTCGAGCGCCAAAATCAGATCAGTGAATATTATTAAGGAGATTTCGTGTGCAATTCGACTTGTAGACTTGAAGCAACAGAGTACAACGACATTTAATATGGAATATCTGAAACTTGCTGCGTTTGCGAAACTTGTGCATAAGAAACTAGAACGTAAACAAAGGCAAACTATTTTGGCACTCATTTTCCACACTTTCCCCCTTTCTCTTCTGCAGCCAATGAGCGTACTTATGATTTTGCGCTGAGTCGCCTGTGCGTGTCCAGGCAGGACAGCTGGCGTGGCATTGCCCCCGCCAACTACAGTCCGGACTTTAACCCAGAGCCGCCCATCTTCTCGGCCAAGTTCGCCAATTGCGATGGATATAGACACATTTTGGCCATTGCCAACGAGGATGGCAAGATTGCACTGCAGGATACCACAGAACGGAACCAGGAGCCCGAGGAGCAGTCGCTCAGTGCGCCCCAGTGTCATTTCAATGCGGTTTTCGATCTGGAATGGGCGCCCGGACAGATGCGCTTTGTGTCCGCCTCCGGCGATCATACGGCTCGTCTGTGGGAGGTCGCCGGCTCCGGGATACGTGGTCTCAATTCCTATGTGGGCCACACACGCTCTGTGAAAACAGCCGCATTTAAGCGCACAGATCCGGCCGTGTTTGCCACGGGCGGACGCGATGGCGCCATTCTCATCTGGGATATTCGCGCCAATCTCAATATGGATCTGACTTCGCGCGTGGACAATTGTATCTACAGCGGCCACACTGGCGGTCCGGGCACGCCCCAATCTCAGCGGAAACAGCGCACTCGCACGCCCAAAATGGCCAGCAACAGCAACACCTCGAGCAGCATTACGGGCTTGGCCTTCCAGGATAACGATACGCTCATCTCGTGCGGCGCCGGCGACGGCGTCATCAAAGTCTGGGATCTGCGGCGAAACTATAGCGCATACAAAAAGGAGCCGCTGCCGCGTCACAGCTTGCCCTATGCGGGTCAATCGACATTCAAGGGCTTCACCAATCTCATTGTGGATGCGGCGGGCACGCGCCTGTATGCCAACTGCATGGACAACACGATCTACTGCTACAACCTGGTCTCCTATGCGTCCAAGCCGCTGGCCAGCTATAAGGGCCTGCTCAACTCGACTTTCTACATCAAGAGCTGCCTCAGTCCGGACGGCAAATATCTGCTGAGCGGCAGCAGTGATGAGCGCGCCTATATCTGGAATCTGGATTATGCGGCTGAGCCGCTGGTCGCATTGGCGGGCCACACGGTCGAGGTCACGTGCGTCGCCTGGGGCGCCACCCATGATCGTCCGATTGTCACCTGCAGCGACGATGCCCGCCACAAGATCTGGCGCATCGGCCCGCCGCCGGAGACATTGACAGTTGCCGAGATTGCGGAGCAATATCGCGGCCAGGCGAGCTATGTACGTCAATTCAATAGACTGCAGCCAAAGGCCGCCGCAGCAACACAACACAAATACAATCTCAGGGATTTGGAGTCCACGCCGCGCTCACTGAAACGTCTCATGGAGATGAATGAACGCACGCCCAGCTCGACCATTAAGCGTTCCTTTCTGGAGATGCTGGGCGCGACAAGCAGCGATGCAAACGCGGAGCAGCCGCAACAGAAGCGCACAAAGCCACTCGAGTCGCGGGGTCGACGCTTGTTCGGACCGAGCTGCAGCAGCAGTCAGCAGCTGCCGGCCATTGGCGAGGAGCAATCCAACATGTCCGCCTGCAATCAGGAGAATCAGGAGGACATCTCCCCGCTAGCAGCAGCAGCTAGTCGATTCCAGCAGCCGTCGCCGCTTGGTGAGCATCATCTAAATCACATTCCGCCGTATATCTCGCCACCGACAACATCAGCGCAAGCGGCGGCAACGAGCTCCACTTCTTTAATTTACTCGCCCACCTCGAATCTGCCCAACTTTGTGCTGGACGGCGAGGCGCCGCATTTGGGCGTCATGTCGCCCAAACGCAAAGCCAAAGAGAAGGTCGACTGGCTAACAAAGATACGCAAACAGAAGCTGATGTCGAATAGTCGGGCGACGCTGACGCTCAACGAGAAGATGAGCATCGAGGAGGCGCTCGATATAATGGCCTCGCCCCGCCTACAAAGCCTGCGCAACTCCGAATGCAGTCCCCGCCTCCAGGCCACGCCCAAACGACGCATTTCACACAACAACGATAGCGGCGCCTCCGCTCCACACCTGCGCACGCCGACCTCCAGCCGGCGGAACAGTGAGACGACGCTCCTGCGCTTCTTCAGCGTGCAACGCAGCGGCAGTGATCCTCCTGCTGCTGCTGAAGTTGATAACATAGTTGATGTGGAGCTGCCTGCCATGTCGCCGCCGCCGCCGCCGCCGCCAGCAACAGCTACGCTGACGCTGAGGACGCCAACGACTGTCGTCGGCAGCGACTGACACAGAGATCCATCCCATATATAGTTTTAGCTCGGACATAGCTTAAGTTATTTCTATGTGTTAGGCTAAACAGTTCTTTTTATCTGCAAGCTAATCAGCACTCTTCACACTTTTGTACAGTACTAACACAAGAGACTAAATATAATTACACATATATATATATATATTTATATATCAATAGGATATTTTACTTTATATATATACATATATATCAATAGGATATTTTACTTTAAGCTCTTCGGACATGCATGTGCTTTTGGCCTGGGTCAACCTTTACCAATAATGACAATAAAACTGATTACGTTTTCGAAGGTGTTCTACTATAATAATTCTATAATATATATAGTTCTATAACCTTTATATCAAAAGATCGCTTCAGCTTGAAGTTCTTACTAATATCGAGCTGGGCTGGCCTATTAAATATATATTAGCTGGCAATCTATTCCCGGAAAAAGTCACATATGTAAATGTTTAAGGCGTTATTTTCTTTCCATGATTTTTTGAACATGCATATGTATATATATGTCTATGTATTGTAATTGATTATTGCGATTTTTTGGACGTCTTTGGTTGACCATTTTGTAGAATGGATTGTTCCTGCCGCTGCTGCTGCTGTTGCTGCTGTTGCTTTACCGACGCGTTCAGCCTCATGATGTGGTAGACGTGGCGTGCCACGCCCACAAGCAGAACTAAATGACACAGATGTAGGGCTATGCTGGACTCCAGCGTGCTGGGATAGGTGTTCCAGCAGTACTCGATAATGCCCAGAATTAAAAAGCGCACGCCGAGCGAATACGGCGTAGACCAAACCAAATATGGCAGCGAGTGAAAGTACCAAATGTAGAACTGATAATGCAGCGACCGGGCGCAGGCGACGCCAATGAAGTTGCACAGGAAGAAGGGCAGCAGCGCCAGCTGCGTGCATGGCTCAAAATAAATGTCGTATTTTTCGGGAGCTTGGTTCAATGGTTCTGCTGGTTTCTGATCCGTGCTTTGTTGCAGACTCCGCTCGAATGCCTTGAGGAAGGACTTTTGCTCGGCACTCAGTTGCTCCTCCTCCTCCTGCTGCTTGGACTGCCTTGCCTGGTTCTGCTGCTCGCGATTCTTTTGCAGGATTTGTGGCACAATGTGTTGCTGCACCTCTCGCAGTCTCAGGTAGCTTCTAAAGAACGTCCAGGTGGGCTTGGCGAAGCACAGCAGCAGCACCAGATGTAGTCCCAGCAGAACCAAGTGAAACTCACGCTGCTCGAAGAGTTCCCTGCTTAGAAATCTATAGTTGACCGTCCACTTATGCTCGAAGATGCGACCCAGGTCGAAGCTGCCGCGCAGATATTCCATAGGATGGGTGAGCAAAAAGGGCGCGCCTATTAGCAGCTGTAGTCCCGCGCAAATTGTGAGCTGCACCAGAGTCCCGAGCACGCCCAGATTAGCCAAATAGAAGAGCAGCAGCGCGGGAGCAAACAGTAATATATTCATCTTGACACCAACAGCGAGGCTATAGCAAATGCTTCCCAGCGTCCAACGCTGATCGAGGAACAGATTTAGCGCCGCATAGAGCAGTAGAATGGCCACCGGATCATTGAACAGCCGGAGCACATAGATCGAATGGATGCGGTAGGATGTGAAGGCGCTCAGCACCAGTACATAGGGCGGCACCTTGCGGCTCTTCGTATAGAGGCGCAACACGAGGCACATCTGGAGCAAGTAGATCCAGGCGAATATGTACTGGGCCAGACGCACATTGGTACCCTGCGCGGTTAAATAGTACAGTCCCGAGTAAATATAGACAAATGCGGCCGGATATACCAAGGGGCCGGTGTCACCTGCAGGAAATTAAACAATATCAATCAAATCAATACAATTTACAATTCAAATACGCGTTATTTTCCCATGAACAGCTGTGAAATTGGCGCGGAACTAGCAAATGAACCAACCAGTTCATGAGCGAGCTGTTGTTAACGCAACTGGGTGACTGTCAAAATGTCAAAGTGAAAAAAAACCGAGAGAGAGAGACTTTGTAACAAGCAGCATGGAGGTTATTACGGCATGTTATTAGAGCTGGCTGCCAAATATAGAGAGAGAAGATTAATAGAGTTGAAAACAGTTAACGGACAAAATGATTTCGTGTAAAAATTTATGTGTTTTGCGTCAACTGCCGCTCAAAAGCTGTCGCCGGCATTACAGTGCCGCGCTGCTGTCGGTGTGGCCAACGAAATGGACACCGAAACCGAAACCTGCCGCCGTCTGCGCTTGGCAACAGAGGACGGCGAAGCAGCAGCAGCAGCAGCGACGCAGTCTCTTTAGCTCGAGTCGCCTGCAGGCGAAGGACTACTATGCGACGCTGGGCGTGGCTAAGAATGCCAATGCCAAGGACATTAAGAAGGCGTACTATGAGCTGGCAAAGAAATATCACCCGGACACGAACAAGGATGATCCGGATGCGAGCAAAAAGTTCCAGGACGTGAGCGAGGCCTATGAGGTGCTCAGCGATGATCAGAAACGGCGAGAATACGATACTTATGGCCAGACGACGGAGAATATGAATCGTCAGGGTGCGGGAGGAGCCGGCGGCTTCGGTGGCGGCGGCGGTCCCTTTGGCCCCGAAGGCTTCTCACAGAATTGGCAATTCCGCTCCACCATCGATCCAGAGGAGCTGTTCCGCAAGATCTTTGGCGAGGGCAATTTTCGTACCAATAGCTTTGACGACTTTGCCGATTCCAAATTCGGCTTCGGTCAGGCCCAAGAGTTGGTCATGGACCTAACCTTCGCCCAGGCGGCGCGTGGCGTCAACAAGGACGTCAATGTGAATGTCGTGGATCAGTGTCCCAAATGCGCCGGCTCCAAGTGCGAGCCGGGCACCAAGCCCGGCCGTTGCCAGTACTGCAATGGCACGGGCTTCGAGACCATCTCGACCGGCCCCTTTGTCATGCGCTCCACGTGCCGCTATTGCCAGGGTACGCGTCAATATATCAAATATCCGTGCGCCGAGTGCGAGGGCAAGGGCCGGACAGTGCAGCGGCGCAAGGTGACCGTCCCAGTGCCCGCTGGCATCGAGAATGGCCAAACCGTGCGCATGCAGGTCGGCACCAAGGAACTCTTTGTCACCTTCCGTGTGGAGCGCAGCGATTACTTCCGGCGCGACGGCGCCGATGTTCACACCGATGCACCCATCTCGCTGGCCCAGGCGGTGCTGGGCGGCACAGTCCGTGTCCAGGGCGTCTACGAGGATCAGTGGCTGAACATTGAGCCGGGCACCTCGTCGCATCGTAAGATTGCGCTGCGCGGCAAGGGCCTGAAGCGTGTCAATGCTCACGGACACGGCGATCATTACGTGCACATCAAGATCGAGATACCAAAGAAGCTGAGCCAGGAGCAGCGCGCCCTGCTGGAGGCGTACGCCGAACTGGAGGAGGACACGCCCGGCCAGATACACGGCATGGCGCAGCGGAAAGATGGCAGTAAGAAAGCAACGTAAATACATTTCTAAACTAATGTGTGATTGGGCCTACAAATACAAAAGAATCTGTATTTGCAGTACACTGTTGTTTTCTAATTGTAACTACAGTGAAAGCTCGCTTGAGCGGATACCCCCCCCCCCCCCGGCTCCAGATTGTCCGCCTAAACATAACCCAATTCAATTCTCCTTCAATATCTGCCCCTTCCGGGATAAGAAAAAGTGTCCGCTTCCGATCAAGAAAAGATTTTAGCATAAAGTAGCCAAAAACGGACTATCCGCGTTAAGCGAGTTTTCACTGTACATAGGCTATGGTTAAAGCATTTACGTTATTAAACCTTTTCGAATACAATTACAGCATAGATCAATTATGCAATTGGCTAGCTGGTTGTGGTAACTACGCCAAATATTCTTAAGTAATTTAAAATTTAAACATAGCTTATTCTTAAAGTTGCTCAAATTACAATTTCTGTTCTCTCTTCCCACTGACTCTCACTGACATGTCTTGCAGCGCAGGTGCGAGTGAAACCAGAACTGAAGCCGGCACCAAACCAGCAGCAGCAGCAGGAACAGCGGACAGCGGTAGTCAAGGAACGAGCAGAGCAGCAACAGAAACAGAATCAGCGAAAGATCAACAAAGTGAAAAGTCGGAAACACGCAGAAAAGAAAAGCAAACCGGAGGCGGCGAAAGCGGAAGCGGAAGCGGAAGTGGTGGCGGAGGCTTCTTGAACAAAATCAAATCCATGTTCATCTAAGTTGAATTGTGTCTTGTTATCGATAACTCTTTTGTAATCGTCGTTGGTTAAACGATAACGATTGCTTACAAAAGCGTTTGTTTTTTTTTTGCCTTTAAGTTTGTTAAATGTAAATTTGGGGGCTATATATTCCAGTGTGGAAACAGATGAAAAAAAAAATACACCAAAATTCAGAGTAAGAGCTTGCGGCCTTTTTGTCTACGTTCAGCCTGGTCTCACTCACTCTCTCTCTCTCTGTGTCTGCCTAGTTTCCAAAAATAAACCAGAGCCAGGCGGCAATTTACTTACCTCGCAGCAGCGAATAATTGGTTGTGCCATTCAGAAAGCCTTCACATTCCTGTAGGGCGAAAATATGTTGGTATATATATATACTAATTGGTTGCCATCATGCTCACCTGCATGTAGGCCTTCCAGTCGATCTCGGTGTAGGGCACACGTTGAATGACAAGCACGTTGATAACCGCCTCGGCCAAAACAATCAGCACCGCAACAATGGGCAGCGCAGCCGGCTCGAATGCCAGGTATTTGATAAAGTTCCAATTGACATATTTGTCCTTTAACGTGAGCAACAGGTTGCTGGGCTTTTTGCGTCGGGTCACAGGCCGCTGGTTGGTTCTTGGCGGTGCCATTTATTTGATAATAAATATCTTTGCGGTTAAATGATGTGCACACACCCGCACACCTCACACAAACACGCTGTGGGCACCCAAAATTTTAACATTTACAGAAAGATTGTTAACAGCGCGCACCAATTTGTTTGTGAAAAAAACTGTCGTTACGAGTTTGTTGGGTAAAATAATAACAACGAGTTTTAAGGTTAATGCAGTTCGGTAAAAGATTATATAAACTGTGTATTAAGAATACAAGTCTGTCAAGTAAAACGACGAATGACGCTTGTAATTGAATTTAACAGCTGCTACTGCTAAACGTAACAGCAACATAACGCCGCCATAACAGCACAGCTGTTGCTCCACATAAACCATGCATTGTTTTGTCGCGATGAGAACGCAGGTGCGCAGGTGAGCTCAAAAAGTTTACTCAAAATAAAAATCAGCTGAAGGAATCGCATTGACGGTTTGTCGGGCGCCACAAGTCGATAACATTTGAAAATAGGCAAATGCACTGCATTACCATAAAGCTGCAGCTTTTATACAAGCGGTTTTCAAATCAAAAAATGGATTCACCCTATATCAAAATGTAAGTTTCTTTTTAGAAAAAACTTTAACATACTTTAATATTACTGTTTACAGAACAGTACAGTACACTACAGTAGTTTTTATAGTACATACTCAGTTTTTAAATAGGGGAAATAGGAATATTTTTTGCAATAGTATTTTGACTATATTGCAGGAAATTGAGCCAAATCTGCTTGCGGTCAATTGCACGGCCGATTCGTATCCGTTACCTGTTGGAAGTGCAAAGGGCACAGCCAATTTAGTGTTGGCATAAGGGGTGACTGGCGGTGGGGGGGGGGGGGGGTGTGTGGGGAGTTTAAGTCAGAGCGAATGATGATGGGAAGAGAAGCCGGCTGGCTGGCTGGCCGGGCCTGGTCTGGCAACTCCGTTTACTTCGCTCATGCATGTAAATGTTGGCCATTTAAAAAGTTACAAGCATCCTCAAACTCGAACAACCATTTGCCGCTGCTCTGTGCGCCCTTCAGCTGCAGGTTTCAGCACAATTAATTGACAACCTGCGGATGCGGATGTTTTTCAGATTTTGCACTGTTCCGTCTGTTTTTATTTATTTTTTTTTGTTCTTTTCTTTTCAATTTTTAGGTGGTGTACACGTGCACTAATTGTGCCCAGTGCGCCGTGTATTCGCAAAAAGTTGACAAATGGCATGCAAACTGTTCCCATGTCCATGTCCAGTTGAACTGCTCAAATGGCTGCAATTATGCCAAAGGCCAGATGGGCAGTGTAGTGGGGCGGCAGTCATATGGATTTCGAACGCATTTCAAGGGGAGCGTATGTCAGGAATGCAGTGAAAACTTACGGCATATTTCAATAAATGCCGTGAAGAATTCAGAAAGAATTTAATTTTAAGCTTGTTGCATGAATGGAGATGTTTCCAATAAATTGAGTTTGCAGATAAATTACTTCTGCATGATAACAAACAAAATAAATGTACACACATAATTAGGAGAGTGCGCTAGGAATTGGTCAAAAATATTTCGATTCATGCTCTCTCCAACTGATTTTTAAAACGTTTGCCTTCCTCAACATTCAAGTATTTTATATTCAAATATAAAACCGTACAATGTACAATGGTACATAGTTCATATCAAGCTATTTCCATAAATGAGATTGTGTGTCCACATACATACATATTCTCAAATATTGGCAATTCTTAGCATCGTCGTTCGTTAAAGTCGACGCTAGTTATCATTTAAAGACTGAATAACATGGGTACACATTATACACATTTAAAGACTGAATAACATGGGTACACATTATAGAACTAAATCGGTCATTTCTTATCAGGCGTAACAGCCACCAATACAACAAAAAAAAACTAAATATATATGTGTGTATATATATATATGTTTGTGTGAGCAACAGGGGGCTTCTCCACAGATAACTGTAATATAACCATTCAGTGCGAAATTTGTCCATTAATCAATATATGTATATACATATGTGCATGGTCTCCTATGTACGTACATATACATATGTAAATATTTATGTACAATGCAGACATTTATATGTGTGTGCATTTGTGTATGTGTTTGTTCTGCTTGCTGTTATCAAAAAGGCTGATAATAAAATCTAGCAAGCTACAGAATAATGTAGAATATAAGTGTGTACAGATGTACATATGTATGTCCATACATGCATACATATCTATGCACTTACATATAACGCAAGTGTCTACTTCTAGCTGACAATCATTTAAATAGTTTCTATATACATACATACATACATACATACATACATATGTATGTATGCAGAACTTTGTACTCGCGTTTTTATATTATTGTTAATTTATTTAATGCTTCGTTCCTTTATTGTGCACTGCAAGTTTTTAATAAAAACTGAGAACGTGAATTGTAAATGCAAGTACAATTAACTGGTACGTTATCTATTATTAATTAAATAAATGGCTGTAAATATATAGATTCGTCATTTGCATATGCAGTGTGTAGTATGATAAAAACTTTCAAGCGAATTTCTGAGCCGAGCTCAGAGGTCCATCCTACATACATATACATATGCATGTTTGCATAGAATTTATTACTCTTCTCTATCCTCCTGCTATTCGCTAGTTTACTGTTTATTGCTATTGTTATGATAGGCAGCAACAATTGCTGCCTTTACTTTTGCTTTTTGCTTTTGGCTTTGCTTTGGCACTTTGCTTTGTGTACACACACAGCGGAGGAGACAAAGCGGCCAAACAAACAAACTGTTGATAATTGAGCAGACGCGGAGAACGCGTACGCGAACGTTGCAAAGCACTAACAAACAAACACACGCACACATACATAAGCATGAAGTTAGACACACACGCATGCATAGGCCTTGCCATGCCGATGGACGTAGGCAGAGGCAGAGGGTGGTTAATCGAAGAGCAGTGGGACTATTTAAGAGTTCAATCATATCAAGCGTCGTTTTTGTCGCGCCGCGTCAATGTTGTGTTCGTATGGCACCCCCCCCCCCCCCACACACACTCCCACTCTACCGTTGTGTGACTACTGGTGATGTTGCTGTTATATTCCACATGTGGACTGCACACACACACATGGCACACGTAGAAGAAAAAACAAAAACAAAATAAAATACATACATACAGCTGTAATAAAAACTAGCAAAGAACTACATTTCAATAGGTTTGAGCGATTTCTGATCGCGCTACAAATGACCAGATATAGAATAGTTAAATCATATCATAATCATATTCATATGTAAATATATCATTTTAATTTGAGTATTATGTGTATAACAACATAAGGAATCGTTTCTGGCCTAAGTGAGTGCAGTTTACTACCCACATAGTACATTGTATATATGGCGAAGGGTACTTTGTTGTTGTTATGGCTGTTTTGTGCCGACTGCCTGTTGCTGCTCTGCTCTCATTTGCCTACAGTCTGCTATCTCGCTTGTTCGGCTGTACCTAATAAGCTTACTGCAAGTGTGTGGGTGCATGTGTAGCGGTGTCTCGTACATACATATTTCGTTTAGCTTTCGTGCTGTTGCTGTTTACGAACCAAGCAGTCAGCCAGCCAGCCAGCAGCTGGGGCTGATTTCAGTTTGATTTTGTCAGTGGCCGCGTACGGTTGTCGGCGAGTTAACGGCGCGCCTAGCAAGAGCCGCTCAAAGCCCAGCTTTTACTTAAGTTTCCAAGCACAACTAGCACAGCCGAGAGCAAAGAAGCAGCGATAAAAGTGTTGAAATTCTTTCGTTTAGGTCTTTTAGTTGTGTATTTTTATTATTTGTTCTGGTAAATTATTGTTCGCTTTTCAACAAGTATAAATCAAAAGCAAGAAATTAGAAATATTTGGGAGAATAAAAAAACAAAACAAAACAGTAAGAAAAAACCGAAAACAAGCGCACAAGATAGCGCACAAAATAAAAAAAGAAAAAAAAAAAGCTGAAAATCATTGTTATTGCATGGAAAATTACTACAGAAATTTCTTGATCGTCGGGGCTCTATAAACGCAAAGGCAAAAGCAAAAGAAACCAAAAACAACAATAACACACAAAAAGCTTAAATTGGTTTGGCTATATAGCAAATTAAGTGACCGGCAGTATTCTGTTTTTTTTTTTTTATTATTTTATGCATATAAGTATAGATATGCTTTTGTTGTATCTTTTTTAATCAAAATTTAAGTTTAGGTTTTTGAGTTATGTGTGTGAGTGTTCCTATGTGTGTGTGTGTGTAAGCTAGAGAATTGGTCGATCTACAAATTCAAAATGCCCAGAAATATCATTAAAAAAAGTAACAACAGCAACAACAACAAAAATCAAGCGATAAATTTATAATCTTAGGCAACATAAACACACAGGCGCATTTCACCTCACACATGCCCGAATCGAATTCGAAAAACAAAAATTGGGAAGATAAAAATGCTGAAAATATTTTTGTGTATATACATTTACATACTAGAATGAAAGATAGAGCATTAGACGAAAATATAAAATTGTTTCACATCGCTTTAAATGCAACTGAAAACTCGTGCACAAGTGAAATTTGTAAAGACAATTTTTAATTAGGTCAATGATATGATAACGTGTTAATCTGCCGAAATCTTAATTCTCTCGTATTTATACATGTTTCATGTTTCACATTTCATAAAATCCCTTCCACAGTTCTTGTACGTTATCAACATTTTCATGTAAAAGACACAAAACAAAACAAAAACAAAAAAAAAAGCTGCATCGGTTATCAGACGCTCCCGATTACAGATTACAGGCATATGTATACATTTTACAAACGTAAAAATCAACGTGTGGCCGCGTTATCAGCTACGTAAAAAAAAAAAAAACAAACAACAAGTAAAAAACTAAAAGCGATCTCAAAAGAACAAAAAAAACGGTGCCGCGCTGTTACCACGCGCTGTTACAACAACAGCAAGAAGAAGAAACTGACATTGACAGAGAGAGAGAGAGAGAGAGAGAGCCAGAAAACATTGCAACCTTTCCATCGTCAGCGGCTCTATGGGTAAGTTTTCTTCCTGTCCGCTTCATGGAAATATTCTCAGTTAAACGGCAATCCACAAGAGTCAGATCTTCATGTAAACAAATTGGAACAGTTGTTTGGAACAGTTTGTTCTGCTTATAGGGGATACATTTATTATGAATCTTAAATTGGATTAGTTAGATTGTCCGAACTTTAAACTGATATGAAAATGAGTGTCCGTTTGTAGGAGCTTTAACTGTTTTGTTTTTTTTTCTGTATGGTTTTAATTAGTAACTAGATTTGCTGTCATCATTTCTTGGCGTGATGTATTTTGATACAACTTATTAGTCAAATGATGTTTGAATGCATTTGTATGCAAATTGGGCAAATTTCTGACGGCTTGACTGAAAATCTTAATTAATCCCTTCTGTGTGTGTGCATACAAGCCTTGTCTGTGTATTTGTATTTTACTGTACGTCAAGTCAGCTCGAATTGGCAAAATTTTGCCAAAATCGGATTGCATCTGACCAAAATCAAATCAAAAGTCAAAAGTTGAACAGCCAGGACTGCAGCTGCAGCTGCAACGGCAACTGCAACGGCAACTGCAACGGCAACTGGAACTGATTGACAGCTGCAGGATGAGATATTTCAACTTTGGCTTGTGATTTGTGTTTGTGTTGGTGTTTGGGTCTGTGGTGAGTTTGCATTTGAATGAGGAGCATTGCTAATACTCCACATGCTAAATTCGAATCATTACTCATATTGACTGGAAACTTGATTTGATCCTGATTCTGTGGTTGTTGCCTTGAGTTCAACCATGCTCAAGTTCAGCAAACATTAAATGTGTGTGCTAAGTTTGCCAAACTGTTGGCTAAATTAAATAAAAAAATTGTGTACCCCAGCAAGAGCAAGAAAAATAGCCGAAAAATCGGCTGAGAAAATTTGCCACTTGACCTACCACACGTAAATCTAAATTAAGCAACAATTTTTTATGCGTTCTCTCTTCGCTGCTTGTTTTGCTGTTTTTTTTTCGTCTCAACTTATACATATACACAATTGTATGCGTACGTATTTTAACGATGAGTGTGTGTGTGTGCGCGAGTATATACACACACACATGAACGGACAATTATTACCGAGTACATTTCTTTGATTTCATTTTATTTTCGCCGTACTTTGCCGCCATTACTTAGTGAATTCTCTGTGTACAGTACACTATGTATGTAGTAAAAGAGCGTATTAGCTAAGTGTGCTATCTGTGTGTGTTTGTTGGTATGTGTGACATATGCAAATGTCGGCAATGTAGGGCATTCAATAGTTGACCCTTGTCTTTTGTTCTTGTCTCTAATCTTATTTGTTATTTTTCTGACCTTTAATATGTTGATGTATGTGCATGTACATACCAGAAGTCACTTGTTGACCCAAATTTGTTGTTGTGTGTTTGTGTTATCCAAGAGCTGTATTAGGTGTCAGTGCCAACTCTGATAATAGCTGAATACTTAGATGAACCGACTGCAGACTGTTGATAACGTTTAGGTTAAAATATAAATGAAAACAATATTTATAGAAATATTTAATGGGCTTTCAAGTAATTAACAGGAGCTTTAAGCTTCAACAATAAACTCAGCATTTACCATCAAAAGAATTACAAAGCATTATATCATCAGGCTCTACTCTACATAGATATGCGCATATGTATGCGTGCACACACACGCACACGCACATACACGCGTGCAGGCATATTACAAATCATAAATTAAATCCACAATCAGGTGATGCCGTTAGTTTCTGTGTCCCACACAAACCCACACACACACGTACACACACATGCATGCATGCGTGTATGTGCATATGAATAGGAATATTTCTAATTTGCAGTTGGCTACCATTCAAGCGAAAAAGCAAAACAAAAGCGAAAGCAAAAATAAAAGAGAATTAAAGAAGGCTGAAGAGCTGAATCAGTTTATGCCAATTATGATATCAATTGTTGCTATGGCAACAGCCCAAGAGAGCTCAAATAGATATATTGCAGTTGAATAACTGTTTTTTGTCGCGACCTCTTGTTGTTGCTAAGCGTTTGTGTGTTTGTGTGTTGTGCGCGCAGTTAAATCACTTGAACTGCTTGAATTGTCTGAAACTGTATTTCATTGAATGTTGCAATCAATTTTAAGCGCTTCTTAAGTGGAACTCATTTGTGGCAGCAGCGTATTTTTCAATTGATTCATCAACACTTTTCGTACCCATTGATATTTAACTGGATTCAGATAATTTCCTCCACTCATGTTAGCTTAAACAGGTGCTTAAATAATAGAAATTCTTAAGAGACGTGTTTTACGCTCTGCTGCCTGCAACAAGATGCGTTAGCAGATAGCTGTAACAATGGCTGCAACAACGTCAGCTACTAACTACTTACATTACCATCACTTCTATGCTCGCAAATTGAGGTGAGTGAACTTTCAGCAGCAACAAGCACGCACAACAACAACAACAACAACAACAGCAGCTGTGCAACAACTTTTGTCAGAGCCTCTTAGTGAGTCTCCAGTTGGCAGCCTGTAAAAAGTAGTTAATTGCACAATTTTGCGGGTTCTCAATGCACCCTTCGCAGTTTTTGCAAAGCAAAAAAATTAAAAGTGCATAAAAACTTGGTTGTCTAATTACATATACAGATCTTTGATTTAAATAATTATATTTGTATGCCAATATTTTGATATCTTGTTGCGTGACGCAAATAAAATGCAACCGTTCCGTTCTTGTGCGCGTCACTTTCAGAATGTCGTCGCAGATCATTTTATTTCACCATCGTTCTCGTTTCTCTTATGCTCGTGTCAGAGCGAGAGTGAGAGCATCGATTGTTTCGCTCTCTGAGCGAAGCCTTCGGATGTGATTACAGTTATATTTACAGTGGGACACTTAATGCTATATCACAGTAGAATCTTACATGCTAATTATTACTACAATATGCTGAATTTACCTAATGGACAAGGTAGGGTAAACACAAATATCTGGCTCCGCATATTCCCATTGTACTTGCTCTATGTTCCTTTGTTCCTTTTCTCTGGGAGCTGCATTGTGGGTCGCTCAATTTCGGCTTTCATTTTGGCTTTTTGCTATTCTTTTTTTCTGTTGCTTTGTAGTTGACGCTTCAAAGTTAGCTTTTAATTACACCATTTTCAGCTTGCATATTACAATGCTCGCTCCTTTTTCGGAATATTTTGCTGCTTGTGGTTTTGACACGGATTTCAAAGTTCTGAAGTCGTTGCAAGCATTCCAAAATTATAAGGCCTGCAGTTATTTGTGCCACAAAAGTTTTCTGTGAGCTTCGCAGACAAACTGAAGCTGCAAAATCTGCTAATGAAATGATATTTAATTAATTGCCATGCAAAAATCGAATACTTATGATGAATAAAAGCATCAATTTAGCTAAAATGAAGTAAATAAAACTAAAAAACATCAAAACAAAACCTGACTGAGTGACAAACCATGAACAGCCATAAAATGTGTGTATTATATATTGCTAATCTAATCAATTTTTAGTTGTTTTAGGGCTTTTTTTTTTTTTTTTTTTTTTTACACCTGACAACAGCTAAAAAATAATGCAAGCCACAAATAAACGTTGTGTGTACTTTGTGTAATTAATAATCAGATAAAAAACGGGCCTTTTTTTTTACCAATTTGTTCAAAAATTAATATTCAATGAATATTTATAGCGTGCTTATTATAAATTAAATATTACCATTTAAGTTTTGCCATTTAATTGGATGAAATTGCAAAAATTTGCTGTAATTATAATTAGATGCCTACAACTATGTACATTAATTTGTGTACATTTAGTCAGCGTCTTGTACTTGATTATGTCGAGAGTAGGAAATAATTGTAAATGGCTTTTGAATGCACAAATGAGTTGATTACGCAGCTAATTGAACCATTAATGCACTACTCAAGTCGAACGGAAATTCAATTAGCTCATTTTGCTGGCGGCTTGTGGCAAGTTGCAAGTGGCATGTGGCAGGTGGCATGTGGCAGGTGGCAACTCAATCAAAAAAAAAACAAAACAAAACAAAACAAAACACTTGGCATTTGCGAGTGTCGAGTGTTTTTATGTTATTTGGCAACTTTCTGTGAAATAATTTTGAGCTCGCCTCGGATTCTATTTTCGGTCTGTGTGACTAGTTGTTTATGTTTTACGAGTAGCTCAACCAGCACAACAACAACAACAACAACAACAACAACAACAAGAAACAAGATGCTTCTCAAATATAAATTAAATTTGACTCCTGTTGAAATTGGAATATGACTTGATGTCCTGGACATTTTCTTGTCAGTTCCTGACTTGACTGTTTTTCACAAATGAAATGTGTCAACCTGTTGCAAATATTAAAAGTTCAAACCACACACACTTTGCTGTCTTTGACAGCCAGACACAATGATAATTTTATGAATTCAATTGTAAAGTTTTGAAGCTCGGCAAAACTGATTTATGTGGCGGAGGAGAGTAAAGGAGAGGCGTCAGATTTACAATTAAAATGCGCCTGATTAAATTAATTAATAAATACCAATTGTGCAGGCTTGTCAAATAATGTGGCTTAGCTTCCATTTAAATACAATTTGCATTTGTTGTCGTTCTGATGTCAGTTGATTAGCTATCGGAATATTTGGCTTGCATTTGAATCACGCTGTCTATTTTAATGCACATTGCTATTTAGAGCTGCGCAGCTGCTTTTCGACCGACCGCCTGCCCGCCGATAAAGCAATTTGCAAAGTATCGACAGATGTGCACGTAAAGCAATTGAAATGCCAAAACTATTTGCTGCATGTGCTTAGTTTAGATACGTACACACATATCTATATATATATATGATATATATCAATTTATGTACACATCCTGACAATCAGCTGCTGCTGCTGCTGATGCATGGGCATTTCAATTGTTGGCACGTTGAAATGCACGCACAAATGCCTCAAATGCTTTGATTTTGCCTTTGTCTTTTTGTTTTTGTTTTGTTGTTTTTAATTTTATTTCAAATGCAATGCCAGTGCACTGAACTACACACAACACAAACAACCGAGATTAGAATAGAATACATAACATACATATAATATAAGTTTGTGTGCGTGTGTAATTGGGCACACATATATTTTTGGCGTATTTATTATTGAATGATGTACAAATAATTTGTTTCAAAAGCATATTTCATTATTTGCGGGGAGCTGAGGTGTCAATGAACCTAATACAAGGTAAGCGCGTATCAACATTAGCTTGTAAATGCAAATAAAGTCAGACCGCAACAGAAATCAGCGCGTGTTTTTCTTCTCTATATTTATACGTACTCTTGTTTATTATGTGTATATTTATATATAAATTCCAGTCAGCGAAAAGTAGCCACAAATTAGCAACAATAAGCGCGAGTCCACGTTTATTTTGTTGTACTTGCATCGTGCTATACGTTGCGTATACGCGATATCAAAGCAAGTTACGTATACGCAACGCATAGCTGGAAATTTGTGCAAACTGCAAACAGAACACTGGTACAGTGAATACTCGTGTCTAAATGAATTTTGTGACGCGGAGTCACAATTTGGACCGCGCACGAATATATGCACACAATCATAGGTTAAGAGAACAGAAAACTGAAGTAATAAAATGTCCCAATCATAGGCTAAGAATAATAATAATAAGTAAATGAAGTCAGTTATCGGTTAAGAGTATGCTTACTAAATTAAGAGAGAGTCCGCCTGCAAGCACAATCGAATCACTTGCAACTCTGTTGATATTATCAGGAGTAAAAGAGAGCCAAGCTTGGAGAGAGGATTTTCGTCGCCGATCAGCAACTTCACTTTGGAACCGACAAGCGTGAGTATCGGACGTGCGTACGTAACGAAGGACAGAATTTAGGGACCGCGAGTTAGCTGCCAGGTTAGGTAGGAACGACCTAGATCCCAGCAGCACCCATCACGCCAGCCGACTCTAACCTAACCGCAGCGGAGCGATCCCAGCGGCTTCCCTTTTTCCTTAACAGAATTAGTAACCACTCTGTGGCGGAGTTATCCCTACTACGGCTCCATACCCCCCTTTTCAGCTTCGCGTCTCGGCAAACTACACATTTCTTGTAGAGTGGACCTGGGTAAGACTGAGTCATCACCCCGGCCAAGAAGCTACTTTACAATTTGTCAAAACTCAACAACAAATTTCTCCTCAGATTCCATTGAGCATTTTTGTGTGTATAATTTGTTGTATGTTTTTTAATTTGTCGCTTTGGTCACAAGTTGTTATGTATTTTGTATAGCATGCGCGAAAGTAGCTCCGCGCCGACAATTGTTCCTTGGTGTATCGCCATATCACGAACATTTTCGGGAACATCCGGATGCTCAATGGCTGGCATACTGATCAGACTAAATGAGAACACCTTCAGGCCGCAATGACGCGCGTAAATTACCTGAAAATGTATTGTAACAGGTATTTAAGGTGTATTTTCGCTAGATTAGTGTCCACAAAATTACCTCCTGAACGAGCGACATGCCGACGGCATCGACGCCAATGTTTCGCAGAAATTTATGTTCGGTCAAAGTCTCGTATACGGGGCCACCCAGGCAAGCATAGACACCCGGATGTATGCGATCCTCCTGACCGATCTCTAGGCCAATTTCCAGCGCCTTCTCGATCAGGTCCACATCATACGCATTAGCCATATTGACGTGCCGGTCGCCGAAGCGCAAATCGTTGGGTCCTTTAAGTGGATTATTGCCGAACCAGCCCAACAAATTGATGTGATCCTTAACGAGCACTATATCGCCAACTCTATAGTTCTTATTGACCGCACCTGCTGTACAGGTGAGAAACAAATATTCGATACCGCACAGCTTTAGCACTCGCACCGGCATCGAGCAGCTGCCCAGGGGATTGCCCTCGTAGTGATGCAAGCGTCCCTGCAGGGCAATCACTGTCGCCCCATTTAACCTGCCCACAAACAGTTTGTTGCTGTTGAGGCCTTGTGCCGTGTATTCCGGAAATTTCGGTATATCCGTATAGTCTATGACAATCGGATTGTCAATCAATTCGGCTAACGTATCCAAATTAGATCCACACACTATGCCAAATTTGGGTCTTATCTCGGTTCGGCTAATTATATATTTGGCCATCTGTTCAATATCGTCATAACTATAGATCAGGCTGTCGGGCGTTACGATAATATCTTTGGGCTTGGCATTGGCTTCTTCCTGCCGTCGCTGTTCGATCAAAATTTTCATTCGTCGTATCTGCAGCGCAGTCTTGAGGGCGCAACAATCCTTATTGCACATTTTGAAAGGACACCTTTCCCCTCAGTTCTGGAAGCAAATCGTCGAAAGGCTAATGAATTTTTTATTTCTTTAATTTACATGCTTGATCTAAGAATTTTTTATTTGAAAGTAAAGGCAGAAGGCTACGCTGTTTTTACTTTTGTTAAACCTTTCAGTAAATGCTCCCTTTGCCAAAAGCTTAACCCAAACGATTTTGGGCATAACAAAGTTATGGAAAAAGGGAGGCATCATGACCATGATCTCTTTTATTAAGCATATTGCGTATTTGGCATTTGTTATTGTTGAAAATATTGAGAGAACTTTGGCACAAACTACATTTCAGCGATTCCAGCGAGCTGTTGTCGCTTGTAATTTATCTCATCGCTTGATTACAATCTTGAGGGTTTTGCTGCGGTTCGATCGAAGCGCAGCGCAGCAATGTCAACAAATGTATTACACACAGACAGCCAAAGCAAAAACATGGTCAGAGAACGTGACTTTGTAGGCGGCAGAGCGACGACAACAACAACAACAACAACAACAACAACAACAACCACAACAGCGGCAACATTTTTGCTTGTAACTTAGGCAATTTGGCGCGCACTCAAATGACAATAACGAAGCGCTGTAAAGTTTTCTATTTCCAGTATCAGTTTGTTTTTATACCCTTGCAGAGGGTATTATAATTTTGTCGTGAAATGTGTATATATATATAAGTATATATATTCTTGATCAGTATCAACAGCTGAGTTGATATAGCCATGTCCGTCTGTCCGTCTGTCTGTTTCTATGCGAACTTGTCTCTCAGTTTTAAAGCTATCTTTATAAAACTTTGCAGAAGTGCCTCTTTCTGTTGCACGCAGTTCATATGTCAAAACCAGCTGGATCAGACCACTATATCATATAGCTGCCATAGGAACTATCGGTCGAAAATTAAGTTGTTGTATGAAAACTTTTATGTTTATAAAGATATCTTTATCAAACTCGGCATTTATTAATTTTTATTATGCTCCTCGTATATATGCAAAATCCTATCAACATCGGACCACTATATTATAAAGCTGCCATAGGAACGATCGGTCGAAAAGTAGGTTCTTGTATGGAAAACTTTTTTGTTTATCAAGATATCTTGACCAAACTTGGCAATTATTAGTTGTACCATGCTCCTCATATATATGCAAAATCCTATTAAGATCGGACAACTATATCATATAGTTGTTGTATCGAAAACTTTTTTGTTATTTAAGACATTTTAACCATACTCGGTTAATTAAATGTCATTAACTATTTTCCCTGTGCTTCTTAGATACGGTCAAAGCACTATGAGCATTATGAAACGGTTGGCTCTGCAAGGGTATTAAATCTTCGGCGTGCCGAAGATAGCCCTTCCTTCTCGCTTGTTATTGTTTTCGTTACTTTGTTATTGTAAAATTAATAAATTTATGTACGTTTTATAGGCACACACAGTGCGCATGCCAAACGCTTGAGCGACTCAGATCAGCTACATGTTATTCATGTGTGTGTGTGTCTGTGTGTGTGTGTCTGTGTGTGTGTCTGTGCGTGGGCGTGGTCAGCCTTCAGCCCATCCCAGCAGTTAGCAGTGACAGTCTCCAGTCGCAGCGTCGGGCAGATGTGTGCCGAAAACCACATGAAAACAATATTAAATTCGACTTGTGGTGTCTGTTGACAGTTTGTTGTTGTTGTTGTTGTTGTTGTTGTTGTTTATTGGTTTACCCTATTAATTAGCAAAGAAATGAATTATAATGGCATGCACTGGCCATCAGCCAGCAGCCAACGTATTGTTTACTGGCCATGCAAATGGGGCTGACTTCAAACATAAACATTCTGTGTAAAATGTTAGCAACAAGTACTATAACAAATACCATGACTGACATTGAGCCATTCTCAAACCATGCCCATAACATGACATTTTCGACGCGTCGTCTGAGCGTTCAAATTAAATCACGTATACGCAGCGTAAACAGCTGAATTTGTGGCTTGAATTATTTCAACTATATAGCATGTGCTAGATCCCTAAGCAGATACATCATTGGAAGTTATTTGATAAATGTATGTATGTATGCTTGTTGATTTTCGGTTAGTCGCAGCTCTGAATTTACATGTTGTTTTGACACAAATCCTCTTTTGTTTTTCGCATAGCTCACAATGTAATTAACACAAAAGCTGCTTATTAAGGTTACACAACAATAAGGAATATTTCATATATATGTGCATATATACAGATGTATAAAATACACAAAAATAATGTTGCCAGATTTACATAGAAGCCAAATGGATCTAGTTCAATTCATAGGATATTTGTCTATATAAGATAAAAACACAAAGCCGAACCTCGTGAAAATCAGATGAGATTTGACCAAACTATGGAGGCGGGTAATATTATCTTATAATTTATAGGATATTTAAGGGTACCATATTTGCATGAATTTTGACTAAAAATTATGTATTCAGATTTGAATGCCACATCAATCTAGAGGGAAAACTGTGTACAAAAAGCCAAACCTTATGAAAATCTGTTGAGTTTTGGCCGAGTTATGGGGGTGGGAAATTTCGACCTATGTCTATATACGAATCTTAGGGGTAAGATTTTGGCATGAATTTCGACTAAAAATTATGTATGCAGATTTGAATGTCAGATTAATCTAGAGGGAAAACTATGTAGTAAAAGCCAAACCTTATGAAAATTGGTTGAGTTTTGACCGAGTTATGGGGGTAAGAAATTTCGACCTATGCCGGTATGCGAATCGAGGGGTAAGATTTTGACATGAATTTCGACTAAAAATTATGTATTCAGATTTGAATGCCACATCAATCTAGAGGGAAAACTGTGTACAAAAAGCCAAACCTTATGAAAATCGGTTGAGTTTTGGCCGAGTTATAGGGGTGGGAAATTTCGACCTACATATGTCTATATACGAAACTTAGGGGTAAGATATTGACATGAATTTCGACTAAAAATTATGTGTTCAGATTTGAATGCCAGATCAATCTAGAGGGAAAACTTTGTACAAAAAGCCAAACCTTATGAAAATCGGTTGAGTTTTGGCCGAGTTATAGGGGTGGGAAATTTCGACCTACATATGTTTATATACGAATCTTAGGGGTAAGATATTGACATTAATTTCGACTAAAAATTATGTATTCAGATTTGAATGCTAAATTAATCTAGAGGGAAAACTATGTACTAAAAGCCAAACCTCATGCAAATCGGTTGAGTTTTGGCCGAGTTTTGGGGGTGGGAAATTTCGACTTATGTCTTATGTGTGTTTGTATGTATGTGTAGGCGTGTGTGTGTACGTATATGCATGCTCTTTCTATGCATGCACCTTTGTTTTCAACCAAGTGCTCTCCTCCTCGATTCTCAAGAATTCAAGTAGGCTCTGCATTTTTTTATGCTAAGCTAGCAGTGTAGTGCCCTTCTATGTACATACATATGGCCTTTTTTGCTGATAACTTTGATAGGGTATATAAAAAGTCTAACATTTCTCTTCTTTTTGTCGTTTCTTGCAGTGTGCGCTGGAAATTGTGCAACATACTCAACGTTGTGAGGGGATTTTTCTGCCAGAGGGCAAGCTGAAACTTTGTTGCCGATACCAATGAAAACCAATGAAAACGGCGACTGCAATTCTAGTGTATACGAGTCAAGCACAAAACGAATAGTTGCCAGAGAACAGCTAAAGCGAAAGAAGTTTGGGCCTCGCAGTCATACGTACAAGTGCCTAAATCATAATCCGCTAACAAATCCAATTTCGCGACGCATTTATGTGCCACAGACGTGCATCAGGCTCAAGATACTTGAACAGAGTCTTAGCCTGAATCTGAAACTGAAACTGAGCCGCAACTCCTGATCAGAGCCAAGTGCAAGCGCAAGTTCAAGTCAAGTTGTTGTTGTTGTTGACGTGTTTCTTTGTTGTTGTTATTTTGTTTTTGGCAACAACAGTTGCAGTTGCCTTAATTGCCCCGACAGCCGCAACAATCAACTGACGACGCCACGATAAAACAACCGAAAACGAAATTCAGCAAGTGAAAATACTTACTTAAAATAAAAGCAGAGCAAAAGAGAGAGAGCGAGAGAGAGAGAGCCAAATCTAGATTGTGAATGACAACGAGCCAGCTCCTTTAGTTGGTAACAGCCAACAGCTTCAAAGCAACTTGGCCCAGTCGCTGCTGACGAGTTTCCTGTTGGCCAAGCACACAGGAGGAGGCACTAAACCAGTAACTGCCGCAACTGGAACTGTAACTGCAACTGTAACTGTAACTGTAACTGTAACTGGTCTTTGGTATTATCAGCAGCCAAGCACACATTTACACACCAATGTACTCGGCTGTTGATTATTACGCGGAAATGGGACAACTCTCACAAGATGTAAGTAAAACAACCTTTGTACTCTATGTCGTCAGTTTTTATAAGTATATGTTAAAAAACATTTTTTTTTGGTAACTTCGAACCAACTCGCTGCCTTTACTTTCGGTTAAGTTCGTTAATCGAATTTTCCACAACCTTTAGTCCAGGCAAATATACTTACATATATTAAATGCTAATGAAACAATTTTATTTTTAATACCCATTCAGAGGGTGTTATAATTTTGTCGTGAAATGTGTAACGCATAGAAGGAGACATCTCCCTGTATATATTCTCGATCAGTATCAACAGACGAGTTGATAAAGCCATGTCGTCCCTCCGTCTGTCCGTCTTTCTGTTTCTTATGCGAAAAACTTTTTGTATGAAAAACTTTTTTGTTTATCAAGATATCTTGACCAAACTCGGCAATTATTAGTTTTAATATGCTCCTCGTATATATGTAAAATCCAATCAACATCGGACCACTATATCATATAGCTGCCATAGAAACGATCGGTCGAAAAGCAGGTTCTTGTATGAAAAACTTTTTTGTTTATCAAGATATCTTGACCAAACTCGGCATTTATGATTTCTTCTATGCTCCTCGTATATATGCAAAATCCTATCAACATCGGACCACTATATCATATAGCAGCCATAGGAACGATCGGTCGAAAATTAAGTTGTTGTATGGAAAACTTTTTTGTTTATCAAGATATCTTGACCAAACTTCGCAATTATAAGTTTTACTATGCTCCTCGTATATATTCAAAATCCTATCAACATCGGACCACTATACTAAATGCTGCCATGGGAACGATCGGTCGAAAATTAAGTTGTTGTATGGAAAACTTTTTTGTTTTTCAAGATATCTTGACCAAACTCGCCACTTATAATTTTCGCTATGTTCCCCACATTTATGCAAAATCTTATTTACATCGCACATCTGCAACGGTATTCAATCTTTGAATGTCGTACATTTTGTAAGCTTATATATATTTAAGTAAGTAAGTAATCTCTTCGCACAGTTGGTATTCATCAAATTTGCCTTAAAATATTCAATGCTTTGGGGGTCTAAGCTACCTCTGCTTTGTGATTTTTTCTGTTATTGTTCAGCTGTTTTTTGTGGCAACAGGATTGGTTTCAAAGTAAAGAATTAATTAAAATTCCGCGTTTGAATATGTTCGGCTCAAAATCGGATTACAGGCATATTCCCGGAATTAGGTCTGCCCCATTATCAACATATCTATTTTTTTTGGTCATAATTTGATGATTATTGCCAACGGATGTGAGCATAACTCTGTGTGCCACAAAAACGTTGCCACTTTTTGTTGCATCATGAAATTGGAGAATGTGGCACGTGGAAATCGATTAAATGACCCTAAAGGAAATCAACATCATTTGAAATGAGCTGCCGCCTGTTTGTTGGTCTCTCCGTGTAATTCATGCACTAATTGAATTTTTGCAGATAGCTGCAGGCTACTTTTTGTGCTCGTTTCGTGGCAACACACACACCCAAACACACACACCCAAACACACACACACGCACACACACACAGTTGGCTGTGCAGCAAGAGTCGAGTATTGGATTGAAAAGTCTAGACTATTTAGAGAAATATGTTCCATATCATGTCATAATTGTAGTTAAATTAATTAATTTGGTAAACCCCTGCAGGGCCACAAATTCCAGAAACTCGAAACTCAAGCATGAGAATTCCTTCCTTTGTCCTTTTCTGTATTCTATATACATTTAAATATTCTCGTAATGCAAGTTTCGCAGAAAAATAAATAACACAGTGGGAGCTTATATTTTATAACACACAGTCTCCGAATTGTAATACCCTTTCGCGATGACTGAACATATAACTGTAAATATATACATATATATATATATATAGAGCGCAAATACATATAGTATATAGAGTATTCTACATGTGCTCTAGATGAGGCAGAGGGAGTTTATATTTATATCACACAACTCCGAATTGTAATACCCTTTCGAGATGACGGAACATATAACTGTGAATATATACAGCTGTGAAAAAAATAATAGCACCACCACTACAAGCAATTTTTAAATAGTTGCCCAACTCACATTTTGAACGTTAAGAAAACGTTAAGCACATTTTTAGAAAGGGAAGACTCTTACAAAACTGGGTGTAAAAAAAGAATCATCCTTATTCTTAACGTTTTTAAGTTATTTAAGGAACTTAATTGAAATTGATAAAAAATAATGGCAACACTTTTCAAATATGGGTTTAAAATTTAAAAAAATGAACGATAAGTAACGAATTCATTGGTTAACAATTTTGAACTATCAATACTAAATCTATGTTCATCATTTAATATTTAGTAGTATATATAGAGTATATATATATAGAGTATATATATATAGAGCATATAGAGTATTCTGAATGTGCTCTTCATGAGGCAGCCAACAAATAGTTGTTGAACAATGAAGGATGGTTTTGCTTTCACAACATTATCACAATGCGCACTGCAAATAGAGAAATATGAAGAAAAACAGCTCTATGTGGATTCTCGTTCGTTCATTCGACAAACGGAAAATTGTTGTATATGAAACCTTTTTTAATTGGCAAGGAACGAGCATAGTAACATGATAACAAATGCGCAATTTCTTTTTGCTGTTGTTGTTGCTTTCCGGCTGGAAGATTTTTTTCGGAGCTCGCCAGGCTTTGATAAGCCGCAGAAAACTACATTATGATTCAGCAATTATTATTATTTTTGATATTTATTTTTATTTTTTTTTTTGGCATGTACCAAACGAAACCGATAACAAAGCACTTTTGCTGTTAGAGCTTTAGAATAAAATATTTTTTATGCACATTTTCGTATAAATAGCACCGAAATTGGGTCATCTAATCTGTTTTTTTTTTTTTTTTTCGGCGGCACAGAACCTTATAAATATATACAATTTTCAACTAAATTGAATTGAATAAAGTTTTTCTGATTGCGTCGCAGTTGAATGCGATTTGCAGCTAGGAAAGGGAATTTAAGTAAAGTATAAATTTTGATAGTTGCTTAGCTTTCAAATGTTTCTGCATACTTATCTAACGCGCAGATTAGTCACTATTAAACGGGCAACATGCAGGCCATTTTACATTTGATATAAATGAATACTGTAGTATAAAAATACGCTAACATGAGCAACAATATCAAATAAACAGATGTGCGCCATTCAGATTCTGGCAACAGTCCAAATGGCTTTTGCCTCTAGAGTGAGTGACAGAATCACGACATGACACACTGACTGACTGACTGACTGACTGACTGACTGACTGACTGACTGATTGACTGTCTGAATAACGCAGAAATCGAAAGGTGCAGCTCTTCTTATACCCACTGACTGACTGACTGACTGACTGACTGACTGACTGACTGACTGACTGACTGACTGACTGACTGACTGACTGACTGAGGGACTGACTAAGCGAATAATGCTGACTGACTGACTGAGTGACTGACTGATTGGCTGACTGACTGATTGACAGCTCTTCTTATACCCACTGACTGACTGACTGACTGACCGAGGGACTGCCTTACTGCGTAAGCGAATCATGACTGACTGACTGACTGACTGACTGACTGACTGACTGACTGAGGGACTGACTGATTGGCTGATTGGCTGACTGACTGAATAACGCAGAAAGCGAAAAATGCAGCTCTTTTTATACCCACTGACTGACTGACTGACTGACTGATTGACTGACTGATTGGCTGACTGACTGATTGACAGCTCTGCTTATACCCCCTGACTGACTGACTGACTGACTGACTGACTGACTGACTGACTGACTGACTGACTGACTGAGCGTCTGGCCGACTGACCGTCTGGTTGACTAACTGAGTGTGTTCTTCATCAGATATGTTTTGGGTACAATTTGGCGATGCGATTCGAAATAGCAACAACATTCTCAATATTTTATTTAATGATTTGTGCAATTTAATTGCCAGCATTTCACAGATGCGGAAGTCAGGCTAAACATTGATTATTATAATATATATAAAAATGTGGCTGGTGCTGCGACATATTTAAAGTGTTTTTTTTTTTTGTTGTTATTTTTGGATATTTTCTTAATTTGTGAAATAGTATAGAAATATCTGTATTGGAATGGCAGAAAGCGGCATGTGCGAGCCATTTATTCGGCTATTCAATAATAGATAAATGCTGTATACTATATATTTGAATTTTTGTATTTTAATTAATTGCGCTAGTATATAAGTTTTTTTTTGAGGCCTCATAAATGCCAATGAAGTATTTCTAATGAATTATTTTAGAACAATAATGATAAGTAAACAAGTCTTTGTTAATACATATGTTTAGGCAGAGTTCATTCAACCTGAGATTTATATATTTAGCAAACTCATTTAGTTGGGGTGACACACACAATTTGCCATTTACCAGACGTTTCTCCAGTTATTATCATCAATATCAAAGGTAGAAGGAAATAACAATTATGGCAATATGTGTGAGTTCTATGCCATCTTATCAATAAGTGTTATCAGGCCAAGCAGCAGCTCAGTCGCCGTCGCTGACTTAGTTGTCAGACAGTTTATTGTTGTTGTTGTTGTCGTAACAAGCGATAATGTGCACCTAATAATTTGCCACACTTGCCACAGAGAAGACTGTTTGGTTGTTGTCATGTCTTTGTGTTTGCATTGCTATTGTTTTGCCTTTAGAGCTTCGATTGTTTGCACTTTATCAGTAGACAAAGTGTCGCACTGAGTGCCAGACAAGCGGGCGGAAAACTCCAGGACCAGAGTCACGCCACCACACACACTCCCACACACACTCACACACACACAGGCACACACACGCACACACATTGAGGTTGGTCAATATTGCCAGTTCGCTAGACACTTGCAAACATGTGCACATTTCACAGTACTTACTCACACTGCGAATGAGTGTACTCATATAACTCATAGGAACTCGCAAAAACTCAAATCGAGTAGTCGCAGTCAGAGAAGCACACATACAAAAAAAGGCGACTCGACAGTG